AGGGTAGTTGAGGTCCTGTATATTAAGTGAGGTCTTCTGACCTCTCTGAGGATCACTAAGCTGGTGCTAGTAAAGATGCTGAAGTTCAGGAACCAATAGCAGCTAAGGTATCTGTTATTTGTCCAAAAATTGGCTGTTGATTTTAAAAATCAGGGCTGAGGTTCAAGTTACTATTAATTTATTGTAAGAGGTTTGTATCTGAAATTAGATGAGTTTGTGGATTTTACTGGAAGAAGTTGTTTGTTTTGGATTTTTGGGGTTTTTTTTGCTGATGTGTGTGTCTGTGAAATAAATGAAGTTCTGGCAACATCTTGTAGTGTTAGCTGGGAACTTCCAGTAATCTTTCATTTTTTTGAAGATAGTGTTACCAGGTGGTGTTTATAAATTTTCATTGTGTGTTGACTTCCTTTGCTCCCATTATTCTGAGAAAGAACTTGATACTTAACCTGCTCCCTTATTATTTATAACTACATCCAAAAGAGGACCCAGGAAACTACAGGCCCATTAGTCTTACTCCAGTCTCTGGAAAGAGTTCTCCTAGAGACTTGCAAGCCAAATGAAGCAGGTAGCCAACATAGATTTCCCAAGGGCAAAAAAAGACAAGTGCAAGGTCCTGCATGTGGTATGACATAAACTAAGAGCCCAAAACAGGCTAGGAACTGTGTGGCTGGGAAGGAACCTTGCTGAAAGGGACCTGCAGGTCCTGGTGGAGTGTACATAAATCCAGCATGCTGCTGCAGCAATGAAGGCAAATCAGATCCTGAGCTGTGTCCACAGGGACTGCTAGCAGAGGTGAGGACATGATCATCCAATGCTTTACTCAATGCTTGTCAGGCCATACCTAGAGACCTGTATCCAGCTCTGGTCCCTACAGTTCAAAAAAGATGCAGAGAGACTGGAGAGGGCCTAAAGGAAGGCCACAATGATGATCATAGGAGAACATGTCCCATGAGTAAAGACAGAAGGGGTTTGGCCTTTTCTCCCTGGAGAAGAGAAGGCTCTGGACATTTTTCCAGTACTCAAGGAGGATGGAGGCTCTCCCAACACATGAAACCACATGGAGAGGACAGGAGCAACTGGTACAAGTTGCACTGAGGGAGATTTCGTCTCAATGTAAGACAGAAATATTTTACTGAAGGATGTGATTGAGTCCCAATCACTGGAAGTTGTCAAGTTATGACTGGACAGGATAATCTCATCTAAGCTCCTTTCCCACAAAAAATTGGAGCACATGATCTTTCAAGGTACCTTCCAACCTGGACTGGTCTATGATTCTGTGGCTCTACATTGAAAATGAAACTCTGCTTATGAGTTCATTTGAAAAGTTTATATGAAAGGTTAATGTGAATGGTTTGCACTCTGTCACGTTGACCTCAGTCGTCCATACTGAAGGCTGTCTGACACCTTGCAGAACGGGGCTCTTATGTTTGATCTAAGTAGCCCAGTAGGGACAGACACTTTATATGATTAGCATCTCCTCAGTGCTGGGCACATAAACTAGTGTACATTTGCTTAGTCTCTGCTGCCATTGGCCTTGGTCCACTGGACATGAGTGGACTGCTTGTCTGCACAGTTTTGCCAGGGTTCTAGCACAACCTCTAACCAGAGCTGAACATGATTTTAATGAATGAGATAGATTAGTGGTGAAACTCTAGACTTAAAACAGTCAAATGACAAGTTTAAACTACCATTTTGATAATCCCGGATTATCAGAAAGGCGAATTTATTGCATTAGCTTATTTATCACAGTGATTACTGGTATTCAGGAGTGAATTGAATGCAGGGTATATGATAGCAAGAAAGACCCTTAGAATATGTCTCTGTGCATGCCAGTCTGTAACTTTAAATTAGAAGTACTGCTTCAAAGTTGTTATTTTATTGTTTCTGCTGATCATTAAGTACAGCATCTTAAAAATGTGACTACATTTTTAGCAGTAATTAATTTACTTTGAATAAGCTGTATTTTCTTGAGGCCATAGGTTTGCATTCATTATTATTCTAGCATAAACAAAACCCTTATTCTACAAGCAGGATATTTGGTATTTTTTCTGAGACCATTTAATTTTTGGGCTTTGTTTTATCTTTTCTTTCATGGAACTATTTGCTCTTTCAGTAAAGGTGGTGTTTATGGTTGCACCACATCTGTTTCCTCTAGTAGCCTACATTCTCAGTGTGGTTTGTAGTATAATGGCCTCAGAATGTGAAACTCACACTACATTGTGGTTAAAAGCAGCATAAACCTCTGGAGTCACTGCCTCATAGCAGCTGAAGATAGGTTCTTGTATTTGGGATTCTAGACAGGTTTCACTGTGATGAGCTGATCCATGTGGAACTGGAGATGGGGGAAGGAATGCATAAAGGAGTATTGGCTGGGACTTGATTATTGTCTGAATTTCAGTATGCGAAAAGATGATGCTGGAATTCTTTGAAATTGGTTAATTAGTGATTGTTTCTTTTTTCTTTGTTTTTGTTATATGTATCATCCCTACATCCCTTGCCACTTTCCTTCTGCCTTACACCAGACTGCTTGATTCTGTAGCCTATGGCTGAAATTCTATTCAAATCACCTAAAATGCAGCCAAAGCGCATGCAGACAATATGGTGCCATGGAAAAAAAATTAAAAATATGTATACATATGAGTGTGTGTATATATATATATGGTGGTACCTGGCTGCTAATGGGCAGATGTTTATATTAAGTAAGATTTCACAGATGTGCTCAGGTAAAATTGCAGTGAGAGCAGGGTGGCAGGTATATGTAGGTACTTTCAGATAGGTGCATGTTTTGTGTAGGTGACATAAAAGTGTCTTTCAAAATAGCCTGTATGAGTCAACCCAAAAATTAATTAAAAGCAGATACTTAATCCTTAATGCCTCCGTTCTCTTTTCCTGACTTTCTTCAGTATAGGGGGAAGCTTACTTAAACAGCTCTTGTTTTAATGTTTGCCAAAGAAAGTTCATCTCACACCCCACACCTCTTTGCCTGTAGTTAAGCCCTTCCTTAATTAGAGGATTTTCTTTCTTTTATAAGTACAAGGCAAAAAATGTAATTTCTAAAGATACTGCTTTGTGATGGTGATGTTTTATTGCTTATTACTATGTGGTTTTAGTTGATTCACTTTACAACATCCTTCCATTCTGTGTATCTTTTTAGTCTGCTTAGCAAGCACTAATTGCCATGTATTAATTAGTTGCAAACAAATGGCTTATCTCTGTAGTCTAAAGGGGAGGGGGAAACAAGTCATCACAGATGAGTCATCTATTTTTGAGATATGTGTGCATTTGTAGAAGCATACACTGCTAGACTGAAGATTTTTGGTAAGCCAATGCCATAAAGTAATTATGAGCTTTTCTTAAGTAGATATGGAGCTTATTCCTACAAACCAGCAAGTATACAGAGCCCCTTTGATTTTTCTGTAGGAAATGTGCACATAAAAATTCAATTCCCATTCAAATATACTGAGAGTAAGTGCCATAATGTCAGGAAGTTTGACAAGGAATAGTTCTAAGGAGAAATTAAATCATTGTGAAGATTATAGCATTTCTTCCACTTTTTTAGAGAATTTATAAATATTTTATTAACGTGTACGTTATACTGTATGCTGGGAAAGGTGTGTTTCAGTTCTGCTTCTCTATTCATTTCCTCTCTTCTCGTATGTGCTTGAGTAGGCAAAAGGTACAAGTTGCTCCAAACTGGCCTTTACACTTCTTGTGAGCTAGGAAATTATTCTGGATGAAAACTATCATCCGTCTACTCTGACTTTCTAAATCAATTGATCCTGAAGGTTGTCATTACACAAGTCTTTGAGTTTAAGCCCTGGGAAGAAAGGGAAGTCATACACACTTGTTTGTGGCTGTCTCAATTCCGCAAGGCAAGTGAGAGAGATTTGAAAACAGTGATTTAGTAAATCATTCTTTTTCTAGTCCTTTACTTAGAAATCCTTGGTCAGTGGGAAGGATGTTTAAATGTTTCAGGGATTAGTACGCTATCTTGAATTTTGTGAATCATATTGTTTTGGGAAGTTTTTATATTAAGGTTGGTTGGGGGGGTTTTTTCTGGTTTTGGAAGGGCGGTATACATGCTGTAAGCTCAAGCTATAAATTTGAAACAAGCAGGAATATTTCAGAAGATTTTTTCTGAAAAATTGCCATGCTGAATAATTTTTAAGCTTTTCTTAAAACACAGGACTCTTCATTCATGTCAGTATGGTACTTTTTGTAATAATATTTGGCATTCATAAGGTACTTGATCACTTGAAGATGCATACATATGTTTAATTAATCCTTTCAGTACCTCTTTGAGGAAGTTAGGTATTACTCCTTTTTAGCAGTAGAGAAAAATGACACAGTAAATTCAAGTGTCTTGATCAAAGGCATGCAATTATTTACAGACTATTACTGTTCCTTGTAGTAAAAAATTAATGTACTTAATTTTGAAGAATGTAAGACTGGGAATATAAATATACTCTGTAGATTGTCTTGACTGACTCCCAGTATTTATGTGGGGCTTTCTCTTATTGCTCTCTATAACCTGGGCAAAGCTCACTTGGGAGGGACTGTGGAATACAAGAAGCTGACCCAGAATTCCTTAACCCTTGTAAGTTTATCTTCATTCCTGTAAAACACAGTGTCTCCCATTTAAAACTAAACCAAAACTCATGTCAGAAATAAAAAAGAGGCGTAACAAGTGTAAATACTACTACATAATAATAGTTCCTAAAGCAAATGTAAGGAGTGTTGTGTCATAATTTCATATTATGATCTGCTTATAAGACTAGCCTTATAAATAAGGGATCCTCCGTGGCTTTTAGAGTAAGTGCCCCTTAATATAGTCTCTTTTTTTTTATTATGATGCTGTATAACATTGATAGCATTATAATGGATAGGAAATTATTTCTTCATTTGAAATCTAAGTGTGGAGCAGCTAGTTTATTAATCTGACAAATAGCAGCAGATTTATTCTATATACCTAATAAATTTGTGTTTGTATATGTGCATAGGTCATGAATACTGATGGAACTGGTAGAAGAGTTCTGGTGGAGGACAAACTGCCTCATATATTTGGATTCACGTTGTTGGGAGACTACATTTATTGGACAGATTGGCAAAGACGCAGCATCGAACGCGTGCATAAGCGCACAGCAGAGAGAGAGATCATCATAGATCAGCTGCCTGATCTAATGGGCCTAAAAGCTACAAATGTTCGCCAGATAATTGGTGAGTAAAAATTCTAATGAGGCAAGTGAAAATGAAATAGAAAATTTCAGCAGTGCTATTCTGCAGATTTTTAGAAATGGACAGAATGCAGTTCTATTGCATGATAACTGCCGGCAGCAGTTTGATGGGATGGGTTAGGTCTTGCGTGAGGTGCTTCAGTTCTCAAACGTGGAAGAATATCAAGTTGGAAAACAACCAGGCACACCCCAAACCAGGTAATTTTCTGCTTCTTAGGGAATCAGAACAGCTTGTAAGTCCGAACAGCCCTGGATCCAGAAGAAGAAAAGAAGGATCATGGAAAATGAATCTTCTTTTTGTAACAGCTAGCTATTTATGAACCTGCAGCTGTAGCAGCTTTTCATCTTGCAATCTGAGCATGTGCTCCCAGTGTGCAAAAGCTAAGACTGAGCTGGTTTGAGTCTGTTCAGTACTTTTCACATTAATACTAGAAAATCATCTTTAAAAATAATTAGAAGTACTTCCTGTCCTGTAGTGTATGTGGTGTAAAAAAAGGAGGATCTAGCTTTAAACTGGCTGTCATAGGCTATCCAAACACTGGTAGCAGTATTACTGTAGCATCACAGAACTCATCACCGTACCTGAATATTCTGCTGTGTGGGTAAGGCTTGCAGCTTCTTGCTGCCTTGTGTGGATTGTACTGCAGGAAAGTAGTCAAATGTAGTTGAGCTATATCTTTACATGGCTGCTGCCACATTATCAAGGTGCCCCAAGGTATATGTGCTTTAATTGCAGCCCTCTTTCCAACTGTTTGGCTAATGGAACTTGTGAGTGCCAAGCATCTCTTAGTAGGTGCATTTGCAGCACGTGCAGATACACAAGTGAGTATTGCAAAGAGCTGCTTCACTTGCATCCTAGAGAGAAGAGACCATTGAATGGATGTGACAATAGATGGGCAAATTTTTCACCTCTAGGAATGCACCTGGGTTGTAGGAATGTAACTGGACCAGTGTACTGTAAAAAGCAGCAGAACATACACTTGCTTACATGCTTCAGTGCTTGTGCTGTGAACTGGAATTCTCAGTAGCTGTAGAACCTTTTCCATAATGCTGGGTTTGTTTCATGGGGTAAGGAAAACAAGCCCTGGCTTTCTAGCCAAGTAGAGTAACGTCTGTCTGAAGGATTACAGGAAATGAACAAAAATTAATTTATTCAGAGAATATAAGGAGAAAAACGATATGTTTACTTAAAGACTCATAGTGTTGTTGATGCATGTGAGGACTAGCTTCACCTTTCACCTGAAGTCGGTTTGCAATGGTTGCTTTTGCTTTTACTGCATGCTTAGGTACAAACCCATGTGCGGAAGATAACGGCGGCTGCAGCCACCTGTGTCTGTACAGACCACAAGGCCTTCGCTGTGCCTGCCCCATCGGCTTGGAGCTCATCAATGACATGAGGACCTGCATCGTCCCAGAAGCTTTCCTGCTGTTTTCTCGGAGAGCAGATATCAGACGAATCTCTCTAGAAACCAACAACAACAACGTTGCTATCCCGCTCACTGGAGTCAAGGAAGCTTCCGCTCTGGATTTTGATGTGACAGACAATCGCATTTACTGGACTGACATTTCACTGAAGGTAGATATTTATTCCATATTGGCTATTCAGCTATTAAAAACTTCTTAAGATACTTTAGAATGGATTGATAAATGCAATTCACAAAATTCAAGGGATATGTAAAAGAGCATTTTCTAACTAAGAATGGCGTACATTTTTGTTACACTACATTCTCTCCTAGAATTTGTTTGTATTGGGTTTGCATGGTAAGGTTTTGGTAGTGAGGGGGCTACAGGGTTGGCTTCTGTGAAAAGCTGCCAGAAGTTTCCCCATGTCCAACAGTGCCAATGCCAGCCAGCTCCAGGACACACCTGCCCCTAGCCAAGGCTGAACCCTTTCAGCAACGGTGACAGAGCCTCTGGGGTAAAGTATTTAAGGGAAAAAAGTTGCCACAACCACCACAACTGCAGCTGGAAAGAGCAGTGAGAATATGAAAGAGAAACAGCTGTGCAGACACCAAGGTAAGTGAGGAAAGAGAGTGAGGAGGTGCTTCAGGCACCAGAGCAGAGATTCCCCCTGCAGCCCATGGTGCAGCCTGCAGTGAGGCAGCTGTGTCCCTGCAGCCCATGGAGGTCCATGAGGATGCAGAGATCCACCTGCAGCACGTGGAGGACCCAATGCCAGAACAGATGGATGCCTGAAGGAGGCTGTGACCCCGTGGGAAACCCATGCTGGAGCAGACTCCTGGCAGAGACCTGCAGACCTTAGAGAGGAGCCCAGACTGGAGCAGTTTTGCTGGCAGGACTTGTGAGCCTGGGCTGGGGGACCCAGGTTGGAGTAGCCTGTTCTAGAAAGACCTTTGGAAGGGACCCATGCTGGAGCACTTTATGAAGAACTGCCATCTGAGGGAAGGACTCATACTGGGAGGGTCCCCCACACCAGAGCAGGGGGAGTCCTCCCCATGAGGAGGAAGGAGCAGCAGAGGCAATGTGTGATGAACTGACCACAACCCTGTGAGACACTGGATTATTGTATTGTGTTGGACCAACTCAAGGAGGGAAGTGGGGGGGGGCAAGGCAGTTTCATGGAGGTGAGGTAATGCCCATTTCCCAGTCCCTGTGAGTCTCACCAGGCAACGCCAGAATAGCTGTCAGTCAAAGGCAGCCCAGGAGCACAGCCTGTACCACACCCTGGAACCCCTAACCCTGCCTTAGATTGGCTGGCACGGTGGGAGCACCACCCCTCCCCCTTCCCCAGAGTGGCCAATGGGCCAGAAGTCCTGCCTGGGAGGCCACAGAAGGCCAGAGCAAATAAAGACAACAGCATGTGGTCTCCATCTTTGCTCAAGCCCTACCAGCTGGCCACGTGAAAGCTGAAGTCTCACAGGACTCTGGTGGTAGCTATATAATTTTCTTTTTCTCTCTCTTTCTTTAATCTTTCTTCTAATCTCCTTTCTTATTATTTTGGATAGCTGGATACTGAATGGGTTGGGTTTTGCTAAGTTGTATGTGTTAGCATGTGCTAACTCAGTGCTTTGTTGAATGCTTTATTTTGGTTGTATGCCACCCTTTAAAGTTTGCCAAGATCTCTTATTTTTCCTAAAGTTTACCAGTAAAAGTACCCCTTGAGAAAATGTGTGAAGCTTTTTCTCTTTTGTGCTCTCTCTTAACGTGTTAAAAGAACTGAAGGCTCTTCTAATAATCCAGAGAGCACATATTGATGGAGCCTTGTATATTTTTAAACTAAAACTCGCTTGCTGAGCTCGTAGCTCAAAACTTGGGGTCTTACAAACGCCCATTCCCCATCCTCCCATGCCACTGTGGGCAAGGAGGTAGAGAAATTGGGAGTGAGATAGAGCCTGGGAAGAAGGGAGGGGTGAGGGAAGGTGTTTTAAGATTTGGTTTTATTTCTCATTATTCTGCTCTGATCTGACTGGTAATAAATTTATTTTTTCAAAGTTGAGTCTGTTTTTCCCATGACAGTAACTGGTGAGTGATCTCTTCCTGTCCTTATCTCAACCCCCGAGCCTTTCATTATATTTTCTCTTAGGTACTTGACATCCAGTCAGGATCAACACACAATGTCATTTAAATCTACTATATACATTTTCACATAAAGAATGAGTTTGCAAACATTTATTTTTTGTAGAAAGCTGAGAAGAATGCCATATGGCAGGAGGTTTCAGCAGTCAGAGTTGTTTTACTGAATACATCTAACAGGGGGGGAAGCCTTGTCTTGGCTCAGAAAGTGAAAATGGGTCTTGCCTATTTATTAACTTTCAGATACTGCAACCAGGTCATATTATGAGTCACAGATTTTATGAAACAGGTCTAGACTGACAAATCAGAAAAGGTGGAGGGTAGGTGTTTAAATGTTGAGTGATGAAATCTGTGTATCATCTGTTTTTTCTGGTACCAGTGAGGCTAGTGATTCCTTTTTGTTTTTCATGGGTTGTAGAATTAGTCAGAATTGTGAGCACTAAAATTTAGTTTTTAATGACTTTTTCTGTAATTGAGTTGAGCTCTGTGCCAACAATAAGTTATGGACTTCTGCAAGTAAAGAATCATCAAAGTTAAAAACGCAGAGTTTAAGTGACTTTGCAGGAGGTGACTTGGCTGAACTCTTAGGCATTGGTACTCATTTGAACTGTGTAAGCGATACAGATGAAGACTGAGATATAAACTTCCCTATTGTGTAATATCACAAACTGGTATAATTATCAGGTAGTGTTCAAACTGGGAAGTAAACAAAAAAAATCAGTGTTTTTTTTAACTTCTGGTGAGTAGTGAGTGAGGAGTGTATGCAGATAGGAATATTAAGGACATAGAAAGGTGGCCCATGTTTGCCAAAAGAATTTTATGCCTTCCTAACATTAGTCCTTTACTTACAGGCTTACCAGGAACTGCCTAGACTCTAATATATTATTAAAATATAATTTTGGCTGTATCTGCTATCACAGCCTGATCCTGATGGCAAAGAGTTAAAAAAAAATCTTTGGAATAAAAATCCAAGAAGCAATTCTGCTTAGTGAAATTAAATTTAGCCATCAGTACTGAAGCACTTACTCTACTGTGCTCATTGGGAGTTTGTTTTTTTTCTTGTGTTTGCTGTTCTGTCCTAAACTTTTTCATTAGGCTGCTTTAAATAGTGTCCCATGCTATAACATTAATGTTTTTCTATAGTCCTGGGAGAGCCAAAATATTTCCCTCTCAAGGTTGACACTGTGTTATTAAGATCACTTTGACATGTAGACTGCTTAATTCAACCAGACTAGTTATCCCATTTATTTCCCCTGTGAAATGCCATTCTAATTGACACAGAATACATTCGTAGAGCACAGTAAATCATTGCTTCTGAATAGCAGCATTGTTTGCTTTGCAAATAAGGAGCGTGTTGGAAGATCCTCTTTCCTATGAGATGTCTAAAATCTGAAAGTGTTTAAAATGCAACAAAGAAAACAGCCAGCCCAATGACAGACTGGTAAAATCTCTAATTTGCCTGTGTATCTTTGTATCCCTGCAGACCATCAGCAGAGCGTTTATGAATGGCAGCGCACTGGAACACGTTGTGGAGTTTGGCTTGGATTACCCTGAAGGCATGGCTGTGGACTGGCTGGGGAAGAACCTGTACTGGGCTGATACTGGAACAAATCGTATAGAAGTGTCAAAGCTGGATGGGCAACATCGCCAGGTGCTGGTGTGGAAAGATCTAGACAGTCCCCGGGCATTGGCATTGGACCCTGCTGAGGGGTAACTTGCTGATTTAATTTTATGTTTATGAACAGTGAAAAACACAATTGTAATGCTTACTCTAGGGCATGTTAGTTAGGCACTGTGTGTAAACCCTGAGAGAACTGAGCTGGGGAATACAACCTGGTAATTTAGAGGAATGTGCTCCTTATGTCCTGAATAATCAATAAGAATATTAAAAAAACCCAAACAAACAAAAAAATCAGAGCAGCTCATTAAAAAGGGATTTATATTTAGGTTTACATTAACCACAGAATCAAAGTACTTTTAGGTTTATGGAATTCATTAATTCAAATACAATACTATAGTATTGAAATGAATATATTTATCATTTTAAAAATTAGGATTTTTTTCATCACAAGTTAGAGTCCATAAAGGTATTAAATGATTTAATTTGAGAGTAGAGAAGGGCAGGTTATAGTCTGAGAATAAGGAAGGTGTTTGTTTCTTCAGATAAGGGAACCTTTTTAGTTGGTATGGACAAGGGAAGCAGTGATAGAGGAGGAGAGGAAACAATTATATCCACCTATCCCCAAAATTAAAGACTTCCTGAGAAGAAACTTCTTAGTTGGATTCAAGTGTATTACAAAAACCAAAAGTAGGGCAATAAGCAGAGAGAGGGAGGAAGGAGTGGGGCAAGACGAGGTAAACTATTCAGCTTCTAAAATAGCTCTTCTACCATGAAATGCTCATTTGACATTAAATAATTACTGCAAAAGCTTTTTGAGGTTATACCAATATTGTATTACTCTTTATTTTGCAAAAGAAGGAACTTCCTTTACAAAGGTTATGAGATTATCACAGTTTCCAGCGACAATGCAAGAGCTGCAGCAATGCAGAGAACTCGGAACACGTTCCTCCTGCTTTATTTCAGCAAGGTGGTGGCAATGGTCACAGTGCTTCCCTGACAGAGTTCTGCTCTGCTGCTACTGAGACTCAGAGATTGGATTCAGCCCTGACTTGCCAGGGGTTGCCTGGACTAGTACATCAAAGGGAATTCAAGACCAGATTGTTAGATACAGTTACTCATTTGTAACAAAAGGTTGCTATGGATGATTCTAGTTGTACACTGGAAATAGGTTTTTCCCAAGGATTATTATGATTCAATGCTTTGTCTCTTTACTACAGATCAGAAAAAAATTACTTGAGTAGGAAAGCCTGTTTTCTCTTTTTCCTTATAGCAATAGTATAGTTGTATACTTATATATATATATATGTACTTATATAAGTATACTTATAGTGTAGTTGTACTTTATATAGAAGTTTTCATGGCATTGCTACTATGGGGGCAATTTTAACACTTAGCTCCATGCTATGTACAACTTGCAAAATTTATACACAAAATACTTGCAAAAGTTTTAAGAAAAAATTTCCAAGTATTCCTAGTGTCCAAAGAATAACTTCCCCTTGATCATCAGTTTTTGAAGCAACTTTTCTCATTGTGGAGTTGGTTGGAATTGAAAGACTTCACAGGTGTTTGTTACTAGAGATATTAAAGCAGAAAGGTGTAAACATTGCATGTGAGCTGCATTCCACTTTTGGAAGTGACTAACTAGTCATCAAATATACAGCTTACTCTACTGTACAGTGTCTAAAGAAAATGTAAATATGTACAAGTCTATCCTGCCAAATGAGGCATAAACTGGCATGTGAGTATGTAATAGTCTGTACTTTTGCTCTGGTATAAATGCCATACAATTTTGTGTTATTCTGCTCTTGGCTGATATGTAACACACTTGTTACATGGCTGATTGATTTAGTTGTGTGGAGATGAGCAGTGTGTGCTGGTTTAAAGGTAAACCAGCAGGGGAAATGAACTCAAAAGAAAGATTATAAGTCAGAATAACAATTTAATAAAATAATACAATAAGTACGATTATACAGACAAACAATTGGTTTTAACCCACAAAACCCAAATATATAACCCAGCACCCTGGGACATGAACAGAGTGGTGCTCTTTGGGCCCCCTGAGTCCAAAGGAAAAGGAGAGGGGAAAACCTGTTGGTGAGAGTGCTGTTGCAGTCTGGTCAAGAGTGGTGATTGCAGTCCAGTTGAGAGTGATGGTTGCAGTCTGGTTGAAAAGTGGTGGTTGCAGTCCAGTCAAGAGCGGTGAGCTGCAGTCTGGTTGAGAGCGGTGATCTGCAGTCTTCCTCTGGATCCCACGAGTGGTTCCAAAAGTTCCAAGACTCCAAGATTATATATCCTCCAGTTCAGGCAGGAATGCTCAGTACCTCCCTCAGGGTGGGGGGTTCCTTAATGGGTGTGAGGACAAGAGCAACTCCTATCTCACAGGCCTCTTAGCACCTAGTTTATAGCCTGAGGAATCAGGCTCTATGTGCAGATAGTGTAAATGGTTCATTGATAACAGTTTCTGGGAAATGGCATGGAAGGCTATAGAATACACAGTTTTGGGTTACACCCATCCAGTGATGAACTGGTCTCAGCTGTCCTAACTAGGACACAGTGGCATCTATTAACAAAAGGACCCTGGATACCTACCTTTTTGCATTCCTTTGATAGACAACTGACTAGAAACAGAAGATAAGTGCCATGGAAAAATATCCTGCTAAATAACTGGGTATAAATGAGGGTGCCGAACTGCCACCTTTTTGCCTCCTAAATGGGGTACATGGATTAGTTACTACTGAAGTATTGTCATACAGTCCAGCTCCAAGCAGAAAAAATACTATTAGAAGCATTTTGAGGAAACTTGACTCACTTCCTTGCTTGTATTTTGAAAAAAAATCCCATTTCGCATAATGGGGCTTAATAAATGCTCAAATTTACAGCTGTTGTTTTTCTCTTGGTCTTTCTGAGGGTTTTTTGTTTTGTTTTTCCTCTCGAGTTCTCTTGGATTGGATGTGATTACTTTCTTCCTTTTGTTCTTTTAATCAGGTTTATGTACTGGACCGAATGGGGTGGTAAGCCAAAGATTGACAGAGCTGCTATGGATGGCAGCGAGCGGACTACCCTGGTACCGAATGTGGGACGTGCCAACGGCCTGACTATTGATTATGCCAAAAGGCGCCTGTACTGGACTGACCTCGATACCAACCTGATAGAATCCTCCAACATGCTGGGTGAGCCTCAGAGCCTCGCGCAGCACCACAAGGATGCAGCTGCTTTTTCTGTGTTCCTTGTGGCAAATTGTTGCTTAAATAATGCAAAGATACGCATCGCGAGGCAAAAATAAAATTTTCCAAACTCACAAGGTGTTAACATTTGCTTCTATAATCCATGTTCATGTAACACAAGATCTAGCAATTTTCTTGTAGATGATAGAGTTTCTCAGAATGTTAAAATTATACAAGGCGTACATATTTCCAGTTATATGTAGGACAAAGCTGTCAGCTTTCAGTGTTTTGGAGGGTCTTGTTTTGCTACTCTGAAGAGCACTGACAAATACATAACAAAGGCACAGAGAAAGCCAAGATAACAACAACTTATTCAGTATTTTTCACAATGTAATTTAATACAGTTTGGTTTTAAATCTTTGTTAGTATCCCCAGGCATTTTTCCCGCCATTATTTTTCATGCTAAGGGCCTTTTCCTGGCTAGTACTTGTCAGCAGGGGAGTTCTCTTGTACTGGGGTGTTTTGTGATGATTTTTGTAAACTGGTCATTGCAGCTAAATGGAGGTGGAATATTTTATTCTTTCACCGTCTCAGGGTACTGTATTGAGGACCCAAGTCCTCTCAGATTTGCACAGTATCTTTTTTTAATTTCTTGGCACTCATAGGAGTGGGCTGCCTTGCTGTGTGCCAAACTATTCAGATTAGCATTAACACTAACCAATATTTAAGGCTAAAGGAGTTTAAACAGTATGCTTGCAGTAGTGGAACAGAGGTAGAAAAAAATCAAAACAGGAAAATGCAATATGGGAATTATATGTAATATGAAAGCTATTCTTCAGCTTCTTCCTTATTTTGGTGTGCTGTGGAGGCTGGCTCTGTGTTCCCTTGCGTAACGTGGAACGGGACATGGCGTTTGAATTTCTTTTCCCTTGTGCCTGTGGCTAGTGATGGCAGAGTGTGGGGCCGTGCATACTTGACTTCTCTGTGCAAAGAGAGTTCTTGCTTCATAATCTCCCTTTCATTTTGTGTGACTAGACAGCAGGAGGTGCTGTGGCAATGAAGCGATTGATATAACATGGTAGAAATAATTCCCCCCCACCATATCCTGCACCTTATGGTCTCTTAACATTTCTACAGTGTACACAATTAACTGTTTCCTGTCTTGGCTTTCTGATTGCTCATTCCTGTTGTGACATTGCAGACACAGGTTAGTTTAACCTTGTGCATTTAATTTTTTTTATAATGCAATGTAGAATTTCATTAAGCTCATAACAGTTTTAATTTTGTAAGCAGTGGGCAGAGACCTAAATGTGGTACAAGAGATGCTGAACTGAGAATACAGTGTCAGGTTCCTGCATCAAATTGAGAAGGACCCTGTCTGTTTTGAGGAGGAGGGAAAGAACAGAATCTTTCTAAGAACCCTGATAATTTTCAAAATTGAGACTTTGTTCTTCAGCAAAATACATTCTTTTCTGTAAATGGCAAGCAGCATTTCTGTGATAGGCTCTGAGATTTCATTTGAATATTGTGCATTACTTTATAATTTACTCTTTTAATGATGAAATAGTAACTTTATAGTAATCATGTGTTGACCTTTCTGTACAGGGGACATGTTCAGCAGCATATTGTTTGTCTGCATATAATTCTACTTTTTGTCTCTGTTCCTTTTCGGAAACAGGCCTTGACCGTGAGATTATAGCTGATGACTTGCCTCACCCGTTCGGCTTGACTCAGTATCAGGATTACATTTACTGGACAGACTGGAGCCGGCGCAGCATTGAACGAGCCAACAAGACCAGTGGCCAGAACCGAACGATCATCCAAGGGCATTTGGATTACGTTATGGACATCTTGGTCTTCCATTCATCCAGGCAGGCAGGCTGGAACGAGTGTGCCTCAAGCAACGGTCACTGCTCTCACCTGTGCTTAGCAGTGCCTGTTGGTGGATTTGTCTGTGGCTGCCCAGCTCACTATTCCTTGAACTCTGACAACCGGACCTGTAGTGGTAAGCCATAATGAATGAAAATGAAAATGCAGAAGCACATGTGTTTAGTAACAGATTGCATTACACTTGGAGGAAAGAGTAGTTTTACAATTTTATAATACTAAAATCCTACTGACTTTTAAGAGAACAGAGAATATTGAAAGAAATAAAAAAATAGTCTTGCAATATACCAGTATCACAAATAAGAGGAATGGCTGTTAGTGAACCTTTTCAATGGCTCAGCTACATCTATTTAAACAGGAAGGCTAAAAATGCTTTTGGTTTTGTATGTCTGTCATACCCTCCTCAAGTGCTTACTTGCTTGTTTATTTATCTGCTTATTTATTTCAAGTCTTGCCTGACATGAAGGATATGTGATAGTTTGGTCTGGATTATGGATTTTGTGCAGGTTTTAGGTGGTCAGGATTTAATTCTGTGGTAGCTGTGTTTTCTGGCTGATGAGATGCTGAGGTGGGCCACTGTCATACCTCGAAAAGTGTTTCTTCCTCAGTGAAGATGGGTTCAGCTCCACAGCCTCCCCAGCAGTCTGATTTCTGATCTCGGTGCAGCCAAGCCCCATTTTTCTTTATTGTTGTGCAGAATACAAACCACGAGGCCCCTCAGGCTGTGTGTAATTAGTTTCTAACCAAATAATTTATCCATCTCTCAATAGCTGGCTGCCAGTGAAGCTGTCATAATTTTGGCAACCACACTGGATGGCTGATTTCCACTGGTGTCATTCAGATTAGTCAGTGGGTGAAGAGATTCATGGTACAGAGAGACAGATTGTATCTTGTCCACATTATGCATGAGTAGCAAAATCCAACTGTTGTTTTAAAGCCAAAAGCAGGACAGATTGTTCCACGAATGCCACCTCATGGCATTTTTTGAAAACTATGCTGTTCAAAGAACTCTGCTTTTCCACCTCCCGTGTGTCTTGTACTTCACCTTTCCTTTTTTATTACAGTGGTAATGACAATGGCATGACAACTAAATTCTTGCACTCTTGACAGTGTCACAAGTTCATGCGAGTTAAAGGCATGGCTGGCACCTCTCTGGTGATGACTGTGATTTTGTAAGTGGAAGAATTTGACTTGCAGTGGAGAATAAGTAGCAAAATGATCAAAAGTCATGTTTGCTTGTGAAAATGCTCTTGGAAACGAAGGAGTAAAATATAGGAAATATGTTGTGAGCAAATAGAACCGTTTCCCCACAGTACGGTTCTAGGCTCTTTGTGTGGTGTTAGGAGTTTTCCTGTGTCATATTCAAACATGGGAACTTTCCAGCTTCTCATTTGTAGGTAGTTGGAGATTTAGGCTTCTCTGCATATATTTTTTTTTTGGCTCCTATGATCGCAGAATGAATCATTTTAACTTTTTCTACCTGTTTAACTCGGCTTACGTACTCCTGAACATTATTAGCCTAGAGGCCCTCCCTTTTGGATTACCCTGCTCATGTGTGCATAGGTTCTTTTAATTATGGAAAGGACATACTGCTCTGGTGAGATCTGGTCTCTCATCAGACCTACCACGTGTCATGAAGTTTGAAGGCAGAGTTACATAGGAGATATGCTCATTCTGCTCCATTTGCCTGTCAAAAATACAGTTAAAATATGTGACTATTGGAAGGGAAAATGATGAAAACTAAGAAGGCATTTCTGAAATTGGTTCTGTTTCAGAGATGCAGAGTCTCAAGGGGAGAAATACTGCTGTTGCTTTTTATAATGAGCCATCAGTTCAAAGTTGTAAGCCAGGCAATCTTGGAAAGTGAGTGTCTTTGGGGAAAAGTAGAAATAATTTTAGGTGCTTATCATGATATGTTTACCTGCACTGTTTTGTCTTAATCTTTTTTGCCTTTTCATTTCTTGGTAAGAATTCTCATGTGTTCTGAATCTATTATTTTGCTGTACACATTCATATAAACTTGTTGGGGATTTGTTTGTTTTGTACTTTCTTCTACAGTTTAGAGCTAAGTAGAAAGCAGTTTAAATTATTGGAGAAACACTTGGAGGGAAAATACAGGTTTTCCAGAAAGCTAAAGTACCTTGCAATTAGGCCTGATTGTTATAGGATGTTTAGGATGTTAGGTCTGTGTGTTAGTTACCAAGGAAACTCCTCTCTGCCTTTTTTTTCCCAGCAGTCAGAATAGATATTCAAAGCGTATTCTAAAATAACAAAGCAAGGTGATGATGTTCTCTAGGAGACTTTTGCTTCCTCCCCTTTCCCAGGTGCTGCCTTACCTGTTTGACAGGCTTGTAAATAAGTGCAAAACTGCTAAACTCTGAACTCCTACTGCTAAACTCTCTCCAGACTTGTGCTGTAAGAGAATTGATTGTACAAACTTCAGGGAGGCTTCAAACTGCATTTCTGGCTGCTGGTTCTTGTGACATCTTGCACAGCAGTGGCTTCAGGTGAAGAAGAACCCCTTCTTGAAAAGAACCCTCTAAAAAGGGAAAATACTTAAACTATCTCCTCTGATTTCTGACCCAGTTATGTAATACAGAGATAATTTTATTCAACAATGCATTAAATGCTTTGTGCACTTACTGTAATGTACGGCTGGTAAACTAAAGCAAAATGGCATTTCTAAGGGAAAAACTATCTGTCCAGGAAATTTTTGCTGGGCATGTGGAGCAGAGTATCAGATTTATTTTTTTTTCTGATTGCAGGTTTTTATTCCCAGATAAGCACCTAGAAATAATAAAGATACATAGATTTGAGAAGAGCAAATACATTTTTCTCCAAAAACACAGCCTCACACACAGTTAAGAGATTTTCCTGTGAATTAGTTTTTGTTTCATTCCAGTGCAGGCAAAAAGAAGGTTTGTGGGAACAGGACTGAACCACTGTCAATCTCTTTTGCCCTGAAACCTCTAAATAAGGAATCAGTGCTGGTTTTTTCTCACCTTCCTCTGCAAGTAGAAGTGTACCTGGCAGAGGGTTCAACTTCATACGGTGAGCTGCCTTTCCCTGAGACTCCTTTAGAAAGAAAATGGACAGTTCTTTGAGAGGCATGATTGACCATTCTTCTCTGAGGTGATTTTGGCAGAAGTCTTCACATTCACTAGTCCATTCACTTACAAAATTTATTTTTGCCTGTCACTTCCATGTACAGACATTTATAGTAAAAAGAGATCACTTGAAAGGCTTTTCAAATTCATCAGAGGTTAGGATTTTTATGTATTATTTTGGGGTTTTGTTTGTTTTTGGCAAAGAGGGAGAAAAGGAATGAAATAACAGGTACTGTCTGGTTTTGTATAGTAGCTATCATTCTTAAACATAAAAATGTCCAATTTTATTGCTGTGTGTAACCCTTCCACCCCCCTTTCTGTTTTTAACCCCGTCAAGCTCCTACAACGTTTTTGTTGTTCAGTCAGAAGAGTGCGATTAATCGCATGGTGATAGATGAGCAGCAGAGTCCAGACATCATACTCCCTATCCACAGTCTCAGGAATGTTCGAGCCATTGATTATGATCCCCTGGATAAGCAGCTGTACTGGATTGATTCTCGGCAGAACATCATCCGGAAGGCACAGGAAGACGGCAGCCAGGTATGCTGATGGTGATGGAATTACTAAACTTTAGGCATGCCCTATGCCAAATAATGACTGACTGTACATGAATAATTTAGATACACAGATTTCCTGTAGTTTAATGTTACTTGGCAAAACAAGTGGCATCTGGAGTTTTCTGGAGTCCTCAGTCAGTGAATTTGGGAGGTGCAGCAAGAAGTAAATCATGGAAAACCAAGGCCAACTCAAAGATCCTGTTGTTCACAGTGCATTATTTGCTCAATGCTGTCTTTTTTCTGGAAGCTGTTCAAAGCCCTCATTTGAGATACAAAACATGGAAGGGAAAATTCTTGGGAGAAATGGGGTGTGTGAGCAAGAAGGTGTGTCAGCAGGGTGCACAGGCAGTGACTCTCAAATGAAGAGGGGGGACTTCATGAGCACACAGCTGTGTCTGGAGCCTCCCAGGTTCTGCTGCAGATAGGAAGAGAGTTTTTGTAAAACACTGGGACACTGAGTGAGGAGCTTGAAACTAGTGACCTATAAGAGATGTAGCAAGCTTGGGAAAATGGATTTGACTGGGGAATACAGAAAAAGTAGAGTAGGGTAGATGGCAAAAGGTAATACAGGTTGTGGTAGTTTGACCCTGGCTGGATGCCAGGTGCCCACTGAAGATGCTCTGTCACTCCCCTCCTCAGTGAGACAGGGGAGAGAAAATATAACAAAAGGTCTATGGGTTGAGATAAGGGCAAAGAGAAATCACTTACCAGTTACCATCACAGGCAGAACAGACTCAACTAGGAGAAATTAATTGAATTTATTACCAATCAAAATCAGAGTAAGATAATGAGACCTAGAATCTTAAAAACACTTTCCCCCACCCCTCCCTCCTTCCTGGGCTTAACTTTATTCCCAATTCTCTAACTCCTCCCTGCCAGTGTCATGGGGAGACAGGAATGGGGGTTATGGTCAGTTCATCACACATTGGTTCTGCCACTGTTTCCTCCTCAGGGAGAGGACTCCTTCCTCTGCTCTAGCATGGGGTCCCTCCCACGGGAGACAGTTTTCTGTGAACTTCTCCAACATGAGTCCTTCCCAGAGGTTGCAGTTCTTCACGAACTGCTCCAGTGTGGGTCCCTTTCCACAGGGTGCCATCTTTCAAGAAGAGGCTGCTCCAGCCTTGGTCCCTCAGAGGGTCACAGCCTCCTTCAGGCATCCATCTGCTCTGGCATGGGGTCCTCCCTGGGCTGCAGGTGGATCTCTGCACTCCCGTGGACCTCCATGGGCTGAAAGGGCACAGCAGCCTCACCATGGGCTGCAAGGGAATCTCTGTTCCAGTGCCTGGAGCACCTCCTGCCCCTCGTTCCTCACTGCCCTTGGTGTCTGCAGGGACTGTTTCTCTTACATATTTCTCACTCTTGTCTTCTCTGGCCACATTTACTTCTGCCCAATAACTTTTTTTCCTTTTTAAATATGTTATCACATTTATCACTACCACCATCCCTGATGGGCTTGGCCTTGGCCAACAGCAGGTGTGTCCTGGAGCCAGCTGGCATTGGCTCTGTTGGACATGGGGAAGCTTCCAGCGGCTTCTCACAGAAGTCACCCCTATAGCCCTCTCCTCCTACCAGAACCTTGCCACACAAACCCCATACACAGGTTTAGTGAGGGTAATTGTGAGCAGTGACTACTTGTTTACTTTATTCACATTTTAAATTAGATTTTTTTTCTTCCTAATTTTTTGAATATGGGAGGAGCAGGAAATGAAGATGAACAACGCAGATGTGCTATATTCAGATGAACAACATAGGTGTGCTATATTCAGTTTAATTTTAAGACTGTGGTTTCTGGTCGTGGGTGTGGTGATAGCTGGATCCTGCTGAACGCCCCTCAGCCTTAACTAATCAGGCATCATGTTTTTGCCAGTGTCAGCAGAATAAACAAATGTAAGACTTGAAGGCACACCGTTTCATAGAGGTGACAAGCCAAATAAAGTTAGGCAAATTTCCTGGTGAAGTCTAATTTGGGGATGAAATAGTGGAAGCAGCTCACCTCAAAAGCATGTCTTCCAAAAAATTATGTGGCCCATGTTTAGTGATCTACTGATCCTCTTCAGATTTTTTGAAAAGTTCATGAAAGATGTTCATTAAGTTCTTTCTAAAGATAATAATAAAGAAAAAAAGGCATGTCGACTCCAGAAGTCTAGACCAGTAGAAGGGAAGAATTTTGAACTAGTAAGGTATTAGCTGGAAGTGCTCTGAAGTCACTGTTGTACGCCAGCTGATGTCCTTTCTGTCTTTGGCAGAGCTACCTTCCCATTCACCCTAATGTCCTCCAAGTAAGATGGCAGCAATGGTGGACAAGAATGAGGCAAGAATTTCAAGTGTCGTCTGGCCTCCCTTTGCCTGTGTTTTTATCCATTCAGCTGCAGCTTTGGGAATTAGTGGTGATGTATTTCTGTTGTAGAGTGTTAGATATGCTGAGTTTGGGTCTATCCAGACCGAACTAAGAGTTGTCAAAAAAGCAGAGGAAATACAGAAGTTGACCCTGGACTTTCAACACAGTTTGGACTTACTGATCAAACTTGTGAAGTCTTATGAGCTGCAATCAGCTTACATGATTGCCATTGCAACAAACCATTAGGACTAAGTTTCTATATATTATCAAAGGTGTTGGTGGGACAATGGGACCTAAGTCTCTCCTTATTCTGCCATATTTTATGGTAGTATTTTGGTCATCTCCTTTTTCTGAACAGTACATGGTATAGCCATAGCAAATATAATTATTCATGTTCTATGATGATTAAATGTTCTTCTGTGTGTTACTTTTTTTTTTTTTTTTAGAGCCTCACTGTTGTGACAAGCCCAGTTCCCAATCAGAACCTAGATATGCAGCCTTATGACCTGAGCATTGACATCTACAGCCGTTACATCTACTGGACCTGCGAAGCTACCAATGTGATCAATGTGACACGCGTGGATGGGAGACCCATGGGAGTGGTGCTCAAAGGAGATCAGGATAGGCCCAGAGCCATTGTGGTGAATCCAGAGAAAGGGTATGTAGCTGAAATAGTCATGTGGGGGAATTCAGGCTGAAGGGCTTGAGAATCAAGTTGGTTTTTTGCTGCCGCTTGGTTTCTGTTTGTCAGAATAAAACTAACTTTGACGTTTGTTAAGATGTCCTGGATTTATAGCAAAAATGTGGAAAGATCAAATAAACTTTTTTTCCTCTAATCCTTCCTGTTCCAGGTACATGTATTTCACCAACCTACAGGAAAGGTCTCCTAAAATTGAGAGAGCAGCACTGGATGGAACTGAACGAGAAGTCCTTTTTTTCAGTGGTTTGAGCAAGCCCGTAGCCTTAGCTATCGACAGCCAGCTAGGCAAGTTGTTCTGGGCTGATTCAGATCTGCGGAGAATTGAAAGTAGTGACCTGTCAGGTAGAGTAGCACTTTAATTCAGTGATTCATTTGTGTGCTGTGGGTGTGGGGGAATGCAGAAAAAGGTGTCATCTTTTTCTTCCTATTATAAACAGTCTATACTATGATTGTAATCACTCCCCAAATTCCCAGCCAAGGAATGTGCGTGATTCATGCATCATGCCCTTACAGTTTCATGCCTCTATCTGTGATTTGCATTATTAATTGCTACACATGCTATTTACTTCAGTTTCTCCCTGCAAGACCTTAGTATGGTTTCCCAAAGTTAGTTCACAAATAAATTGCAGCAGTTTTGGAGAGGGAAGGGAGAAGGTTGTTTTTAAAGGCATTGGTTTTGGTGCAGTAATTTGTCAGTTGGAGAAAAGTTCCCTGTTGGTGGGAAAATCTGTCCAGCAAAATTAAAGCAACAGGTGTCCAGGTTACCTATGCACCTATCATTTAGGGTGAAAAGATGTGAGAAGAATTAAGCAGATCTAATGTCTGTTCTCAAAAGACAAAAAGCTCCCTCCTCCAGCTATGGGATTCTTTTTGCCTACTCCCTAAGGTTGGTTATGGTGCTTGTCTGACCTCCTCTATGAGTTGATTCAGCTCACTTAACCATATAAGCAAAATAATAACCTAACAACAATATACAGAAAAAGAAAAATAGAGAATGGTGTTCTGTTGGCTTGGAAAGCTGAATTGGTTCAGGAAGTAGTCCAGCAAGGAACCAGAAGTGGAGTTAAAGAAGAGGGAAAAATCAAGTGGTCCAGATTGGGTGAGAAAGACTGAGATGTCTTTCATTTACTAGCCTAATCCAGCAAACTGCTGGATCAGCTCAGCTGCCTCACATAGCATCAGTAGTAATTTGTGATATGGATTAGGCCAGATGTTGCTGCTTTAAGTGAGAGCATGTTCTGAGCACACACATACCCATCTCTGTTAGCTGATGGGGTATATGCCCATATCTCACTCCTGCTACTGGAGGACAGGAGCTGAAATTCTCCTTCCTCCATGGTAAGCCCATCCCCAATTTGAATAGTGCATGTCCTTCTACTTCAGCAGTGGTTTTTACTGTCATAAGCATAAGTACACATGTAAGGAAATAAGGACACGCTTTGGAATCTGTGAGCAAGTTTGAGAACTTAACAAGAGTTAAAATAGTTTGTAGTAATGTCTGTCACTTATGACACGATACCTTCATTCAAACTATCAGTGTGTAACCCCATTGACACTGCTGTGATTTTCAACCTTATATTAAGTTGCTAGAATAAGCTTTTGTTTTGGAAAACATTTCAGTTTCTCTAGATGGTTGGAACCGAGGCTCAGAAAAATAGTAATTTTTTTTTCAGTGGTGTGTCACTGAAAGGTTCAGGGTCACTAATGAATTGCAATATCCTAGTTTAAAACAGTAAGACATAACCCGAGTTTGTGAATTATTTTTGGATAAAAAAAAAAATGGGGTGGTGTAGCTCAGTATGTTCTAAGCTGTCCCAGATCCAGAGTTTGCATGAGTAGAGTAACAGGTGGCAGAATATCACACCATGCTTTATTTCTCTCTTTGTTATCTGCCCAAAATTAAAACACCAGAGAAGGAGATGGGTCTAAATTCCAGTTCAGTATGGTTTTAATGATTCTGCTTTTCTTTTTTCTTAAAGATGTGGTTGTTGGATCACCAGTGTTGGATTATAGTAAAAGCTCACCGTATTTCGAAGAACACAAACTAAAATCATTCCAGAACCTCTCTTGCTTTTTGGCATTTGCACCACAAATAGATTGCTGTAATCACCATGATAAATTGCTAACTGCTGAGATGCATTCCTGTGCTTAGGAATGCTGATTAATAGGCTCTTTTGACCAGCAGAGTAATTTTTCTGCATGTTAGCTTATTTAAAACATTCACAGTCTCTTGCTCTGTCAACTCTGTAGATGCCAGCACTCATAAAGACAAGTACAGTTAGAATGCCTTTTATGTGATGCAGTCTCTTTTCCTCCCTGTCCTTCAGGCATGCAGTTAGGACTCGGTATTCTGCCCAAATGGGAGATCCTACTGGAGTTAACCAGAGTCTTCACATGGTTTATGAAAAGATGACTGGAATTAGCTCCCTGCCATGGAAACTATTTGGAAATTAGTTCTTCTGTTCCAGAAAATTTAGTGTGATTTGGAAATGTCTAATGGTTCTGGAATTAAGTAATTTTTATTTGTAAATAGAATGAGCTATGGGATGTGTCCTGATTTTTGTATTTATTTGGTTGGGTTTAAGTCTTTTGGTAAAAGACTTGGTCATTGCTGGAGAGAGGATGGTGATGCCAGGAGACAAAGCTCCTCTTAATCATGTCTCCCTTTCACCTGACATTCCCAATAAAGGAAACTAGCACTCTGAGTCAGCTTCAGATTTTATTGTTGGTTTATGGAAAAAAGGAATTTAGGGTCTTGTTTTAGTCAGAAATAGTCAGTTATACTTGGTCATGAATATTAAAAAGAAAGATTAAAACATTAAGGAAGTGAAAATTTTAAGCTTCTGAGTGCATACTGCAAAATGCCATGCTGATTGACATTGTCATGGCAGAGCAGGTCATGTATAGACTCCATTTGGGTAGGTCAGTGTCTTAATTTTTGTATTTCTTACTGTCATCTTTGCATTTTGCCCTATTCCCAGCTTATCTTTTCTTCTTATGATTCAGGTTTCTGTTTTCTCACCTTTTCCCTATTCAATTAGTCATGTTCATGGGTGTTAATAGATGGTTGCAGTTATTTAGATTGACTTACATCACTCAGTCTGTTAATTTCTACATCAGGGTATAACCTCCTTCAGAATCCATCAACATCTTTTCTTAATCAGACCATTGCTGATGTTATTCCAAAGTGGTGGGTGAGACTCCAGTCTAGCTGATTTGAATTTCCATGTTCTGCTTGGATTCTAACGCTTAGTAAATGTTTGGAAGGTTGCTTAACTTCTGAGCTCTGTGTGCATTTAGCAAAAAGGAGGTAAATACATTTTTCACCATCGAATTTGTTTGTTACTCGTCATCACTGACATACTGTTCATAAAATTCTCAACAAGTGAAAAACCTCTTCTTGCTACTAAACAAAGCAGAGGGATAGAATTTACTCAGAGTATAAAATCATGAAATGCATGTGTCTTCTGTCCTGTTACATTATCTTGTGTGGGATGGTAGAGATGTGGTAGATTTTTTTCCCATGGTATTCAGTTATTCTAGTATATTTCTTACAGAACTAGATATAAAAATTGCTGGAAATTGTTCTGTGGATGAACGTAGGTAAAACTATTGTCTGCTGAAGTAAAAGTGAAAAATAAGCCTAGATAACTGAAATACCAGGATTTATATGTAAATTTTCAAGCTGTAGCCTAAGTGTAGACTATGTGATATTGTTTCAGCTGTGGTCAGAATCTGATAAACACACTGAATATTTGAGTGTTAATGACCATGTCATATTGTGTTAAATAAAGGAAGCATGGCTTAAACCTCCCTCCTGAGCCCTCAGGTTTTGATTAACATACTTGTTTTCTGTGTGAGTTATAAAGTCTTCACTCTCTTTGGACAGTCTTTAATGATACCTTTAAAACAACTTTTGGCTGTCTTCTGCTTATATGGAGTGTTAACCATGAAGTAGCATGATTGCTAAAGGAACTCAGGAAAGTAGGTCTTCTCTAGGAAGAAAGGAGCATTCCCAATTTAGCATGAATAGCTTAGTGAAGGTAATGTAGTTGAAAGAAAAGAATATGAGGAAGTCAGATGTCATGTTAATCTCCTAATTCATGTGAGAAATACTAACTACCTTACCTTCACTTGGATTTCATCTTGTATTAGTTAGCTCAAGCTAGTAATCTATCTTCTTATTCCCTGTTGTATGGCAAGACAAAGAAATTGATCTCTCCAAAAAGGGAAAGAAGAATGAAAAGAACTACCAATTTCCATCGTATTGAGAAAAGACTGGAAAGGCTCATGAGAGCTGAACCCCCAATTCCAGGTGCTTCTTAAGTACAGTAGATATTTTTGAAGCACAAAAACTGTCTTCTTGATGAAAGCAGAAAAAAAAAATCTGTCTGCAAAATGCATTAGTCATGCATCAGAGGACCATGGATTGCTTGGGGTTTTATAGTAGGCTTACCTGGTAGCATAGAAGTAGTGAAAAACAGTGGTGTGAGTAGTGTAGAAAGTGTTTCTGATAGTAATTGAGTTTATTTTAGCTGAACTACACCACTCTTTCCCTTCTGCAGGTGCTAACCGGATTGTTTTGGAAGACTCTAATATCTTGCAGCCTGTAGGACTCACTGTATTTGAAAACTGGCTGTATTGGATTGATAGACAGCAGCAGATGATTGAAAAGATTGATATGACTGGTCGAGAAGGACGTACAAAGGTCCAAGCTCGTATTGCACAACTCAGTGACATCCATGCTGTGAAAGAACTCAACATTCAGGAATACAGTAAGTGCAATCCCTGTTTGCAGGTGCAAACAGTGCCTGTGAGACTCGAGCCAAGGAGTGGCCACAGAGACACTAGCTTCTTTTGCCTTATTGCTGACTAACATCAGTGCAGATCGGAGGGACCAGAAGTTGGTGTCGGTTGGTTGTCAGGGTACTGTTAAGATTGTTTCCTTCAGGCAGTTGGCAATGGATTGGAAATCTCTCACAACCCCAGCATAATATTTTGTTGCTGATGACAATTTTGTTAGTAGTGTCATACAGGCACCTGGCATTTGAATGTCTCTAGGCACAGTGGAAACATCCTGTTATCCCCAGGAGAGGATTTTCTGGATCATGTTAGTGAACTGCTATTAGTTGTTTGCTCTCTTTAGGCAAGCACAGCTCTCGGGGCTTTTACTAGCAGCAAATGTTTCAATGGACTGCCTGCCTTGAAGGCAAAGTGAACAGTTTTTGATGGTGGTAATTCATATTGAAAGTGAATGACAGAGAGCAATGTTGCATTGGACAAAAGAAGTGTGTATTAAATAACAATTTGTATTGAACATGGTGGCACTTTTAAAAGTTTTCTGTTTACCAGGCCTTTCCCCACACACATAACTCTTGAAATGATGGGAGGTAGATGGTTAAAGCAGTAGAGTTGCTGTCATCCTGGAGGAAATACACCTGGTTAGTAGGCTGTGGTGCATGCCTGGGAGAAATATGTAGAAAAATGTCTGGGGATGCTTAATTAAAACATCAGTGCAGACTACTACTAGTTTTGTGTGCTATTAATCTCAATAAATCTGTCAGGAGTTCCAAGAGAAGTATGTTGTCCTTATTAAACATTAAAATGAAGAGACATATTTATCTAGAGCATGTTAATTTGAATTTTGGAGACAGCACAGAAGCTTCAGAATTCATAAATTAGAAAGGTTTACTTTTTTAATGGTCTTTGATAGAGAAAATGAAGTATGGAATCCAAGACATCTTTTTGTATTACTAATACTACCATTTGCTGCAGAGAACTAATTCTACCTCACACAAGAAGCAAAATGCTTTGAGTACCGTTTTAGTAGATGCCATGGCACAATTCTTACAGTGGTTTCAGATCATGGACAGTTACCAATGTGCGTTATAATTACTGATGTAAAGGGAAAAATACAACTCTTTCAGGGATTTTTTAGTAATGCTCTCCCCAGGGGGAAGGAAGTAATGAAGGGAGACCAATGGGCCCAGAGAAATCACTGAAAGGTTATAAAAGAAGTGGAGATTCCTTGTCAGTCCCCGTCTTTCTTATTTTTAAAATCACAGGACAACATCCTTGTTCTCAAGACAATGGTGGCTGCTCACACATTTGCATTGTGAAGGGCGATGGCACCACACGCTGTTCTTGCCCAGTCCACCTTGTTCTGCTGCAGGATGAGCTGTCCTGTGGAGGTAAGTCTTTCCCATGCTCCCTGTCACTGAGCTGTCACCTTTAAGGTTGTGGGGTGTCTCCATCTTCAGGGCTGGCTTCTGAGCAAAAAGAACATGGCAGCGCACCAGGTGCCGTTACGCAGTTTTACACATTTCCTCTTTCCCACCCCGTTCAGCTAAATCTGGAAGTACTGAGAAGGAGTAAGGGAAAAGGAAAAAAATCACTGACTGTTGAATAAGGATTTTTGTTCACCCTTTCTACTTAAGACCACTAAATTATTTCGACTTCATTTTTTAATTGTATGATTTTTTTATCACTTTTTTCTATCACTCCATATGTTCTCCTTTTTCAAATAGGGGTAGAGTCTCACATTTTGGCATATTGCACTGTCTGTGCCATTTTATTCTTCTCTGTTGTCCTTTTCAAGCTCACCCTGCGTGTGTCTTTCTGAACTTCAGTGCCAGAAGGGCAAGTTGCCTCCTCCATGGTGATACAGTCACTATAACCCACACCCTGGTGTCTCCAGGGGTGGGGTTGAAATGGAGGAGAGACACTTAAGTGCTTGGATCTCTTTGTGCCACTGTAGTGAATGGATTTATTATGCAATCTTCTCGCCATCGAGGCGGCATGTGGTCTCACAATGGAATAAGAGCTAACATAATCCAGATATTTTCTCAGAGCAAGTTTAATACCAGGCCAAAAAGCAGAGGGAGGAAATGGGGATTAAAAAAAGAGGAAAAAATCCCACACTTACTTACTGCATGAGATTAACAGTTAATGTAGTAAATATTAAATAACAGCTAACAGATGTGTTGAGGTAGTGGAACTTGACTAGATGGAGCAGTTTTTTGTTTTAAAAGAATTTTGACTGAACAGAACTGGCAAGGGCACATAACTAGACATTGAGTCTAGTACAGTGCATCCATGTACAGCACATTACATCCTTATAACATTTTCTATACAAGGACTGTCAAACATTTAAAAAGAGAGTAAGCCATCAGCTGTGTATATAGTGGTGTTGCAGGAAAGGAGGAGTAGAAAAGCGTGGTGACTTCAAATGGAGAGTTGAAGACCTACTAAGAGACGGGTGTAGGAGTCTTAAATGGGAAAGGAAGAAAATAATCATGTTTTATGGGCCTATTTCTCTGTTCCTCTTGTTCTTTGTCTGTCAAGCCCCCATTGATGTGAGCCTTCATCAGTCACATGGGGCTCAAGGTCTACACAAATGACTGTGGAGGCAGTGGGTGTGGAAGTTACCTTGTGACATGGCATGTTTATCAGCTGCTTTGATAAGTGAAAGCAGCTGAGCTCTTCACCTGCATGAGCTGTTTGTTCACCTGGATTTTTAATTTTTGTTTGTTTGCTTGATTTTTTAAGAACCACCAACATGCTCCCCTCAGCAATTCACCTGTTTCACAGGTGAGATTGACTGCATCCCGGTGGCCTGGCGCTGTGATGGTTTCACTGAATGTGAAGACCACAGTGATGAAAAGAACTGCCCAGTGTGCTCAGATACCCAGTTCCAGTGTGAAAGTGGACAGTGCATAGACAGTGCCCTCCGGTGCAATGGAGAAGCAAATTGTCAGGACAACTCAGATGAGAAGAACTGTGAAGGTACAGAGGATATTTTGAAGTGTGGTGAAAACAGAGCTGTCATAGGGACACTACGATAAATACCGGTGTTATTACTGAGTAGGATTTGGAAGGATCCAAGGTTCTGCTAGTTTTTAAACTGGTCTATTCAATGGAAATTATTTTGTAACTCTATACTTTTGTTTCTCTACCTGTGAAGTGGAAATTAAGACTGATCTCCATCACAGTGGTCTAAACACTGTAAAAAGTACTATTAAAAATGGTATGATTTTAAGCTCTAAAAACCTGGTATCTGTGAGTGAACTACCAAGTGGAGCAATTCCTTGTCACTGCTTTTTGTGTACCTTGTACCAAGTAAAGGTTGTGGGATTGTTTATTTTACAATACCTGAACAAAATGAGTTTTTCTGAGTAAGCAGTAGTGAGAGACAGATGAGATTTCTGGAGACCTCTTCTTCCTGTAGAGCACAGCAAAAGATAGTATTTAAGCCATCATTACAGAGGGAAGCACTGTTGCTAGTACAATGAGAATTAGGTTCTTTTAATTTTGGAAAGGACAGGTTTTGCTGATGGAAAAGATGTGCTTCAGCTCAAACAAAAACATACAGACTGATGCAGAAATGGCTGTGTGATGAAAGGTGATTGTTAGCCAGTTGAGATGCAAGTTAGCTTCCCAGTTGTCACTCAACAACTGGAGATGTCAGACTGGGGGCTGTTTATTACCTTCAAAGCGGCCCATTCAGACTATTCACATTGATTACAAATAAGTTTTTAATTCAACTGAAGATGGAAAATATTTCTGGATTTATGAGAAACAGGAGGCAGGAATATGTGTAAACAGCAGTGACCAGCACCTTGCCTGCAGCACCTTTTTTCCCAAAGTGGTAGTTTATTTTTTGAGTGTAGTGACAAAGCTTCAGTTTTATATTATGTCTTTCGTTTCAGTTTAAAAACATAATGACAAGTAAAATATATTGTCTCATGGTCAAGGAGCTCTCTGGTTTACAGGAAGAGCACAAGGACAATGAGAAACCACATTTATCTTTCTTAAACAATTTTATCATCATGGTTTGGCAGATTTATTTTTAATAACTTAATTCTTCTCTCTTATATTACAGTAAATGCTTAGATTTGGTGATTCTTATAGTAAATAACTGTGTCCTGGGATAAGTGCCTATCTTCTCAATGGCCTTCTGCTTCTGAGTTATTTTAGATGAGGTATCTTTATCTTGTAGTGTTCTTACTGTAAGCAGGCAGTAAGGATCAGGTAACCCAGTGTGCACTATCCTCAACAAAACACTGAATCACTTTTGCATGGTTCACATGAGGGACTTTTAGTGTCATTGGCTACTTTCAGAAATTAGGATTGCAGCACTCTAGGCTCTCTCAAGATACTCCTGACTGTACACTTTGGTGTCTTTGTTTCTTAATTTTGAAGAGGAGAAGCCTTTGACACTGACGCTTGGTGTGTGGGTGGTTCTCTTCGCAGTGCTTTGTTTAACCGATCAGTTCCGCTGTGCCAGTGGGCAGTGCATTGGGAAAAGCAAGAAATGTGATCACAACCTGGACTGCAGTGACAGCTCAGATGAGCAAGGATGCTGTAAGTGTATTACCTGAGACTAGAAACTTGGTTACAGCATCAAAAATTTGTTTCTCATCTTCCCTACAAGTTAGATTTTATTCTGTCAACCAGACCGAATTAATTATTCCCAGAATTAATGTTCCTTTTCATAACTGCTGTCATGCAATTAATGCACAACATGGTGGAATAGAAATAAAAAAATTAATTTGTGTTCTGAACAAGTAGTTTCTGAGGCAGAGAAGGCTAGTTATTTTTCCACTCACCTTTTTAAACTTTTAAAAGAAATAAAAGGTTTGTTTTACTATAATGTGTTAGTATGCTGAGTTGGTGCAGTGTTAAAAAAAATCTATCACCCTGAGGCTTTTACATATAGCTGCTCTGCTTCATGGTTTTCTCATCCAGGGAGTTAATAGCAGGTGCTTTTAGAATTAGAGGAGTACTCTGTTTATAGAGTAAACCTTCTAAAATTTCCTTTTTATCTTGAAAAGATATAATTCTGAGCTTGATATATGATTTGTAACGTGATATCCACTAACTCGAAATCTCCGGGGCACTACAAGGATACCACTGCCTTTAAAATTCCAACTTAAAAGTTCATTTTCACTGTTGGTGCTTTAAAAGAAATTTTAAATAGGGACATCTCTTCTTGTGTTAGAGATCCATATATCACGGGTGACACACACGTAAGGTGAAAATGCAAAGCCAGATCTTGAGAAGGAATGATAGGAGATGTTCTGTCATGCTACCAAGTTACCAGTGACATTATCACAGACTTGTGTAGTTACCTTTACTATAGTTTATATGTTTTCCAGTTTTGTAATAGAAGATGGAAAATTGGCCTTTCCAGAATAAAATTGCAGTTGTCACCATCCCTCTTTCAGTATGATCAGAAGTCTGTTTACTTATCTCTGTAGACTGTGACAAGCTGGTTTAAGTGTGGGTTTGGTGTTCAGGGAGAAGAAAATGTGTTGAGGAAAAAACTTGCAGTAATATGTAAGATGTAAAACACTGACTAGAACAGGAAAATACTTTAGTCTGCTTTTCCTGTCAAATTCATGAAGCACAGGCGGGGAGTTGTCAAAAATGTCATTGCTTAGAACTGGTGTTGTAGGGAAAGCCACTCATTTTGACTGTTGAGTAATTGTTTTGGATACAGTTTCCTCATAAAATGGCACCTCTCAAGCTGATGCTCAGCTATAACTGAGGGTGGGTCAGATGTGTTGCAGGTTAGGTAGTTTAATAAATAGTATCAAGCCCAAAATTCATCACTACTGAACGATAGAGGTGATGCACCATAAGTGAGTGTTACACTGGTGAGAAAAGGGAATGTCAGTCTGTTACACTGAGGGATAACCTAGGTGCTTATGTGACATGAACAGGTGTGACATGATAAGTTCTCACTGTCTTAATGACAAGAAAAAGCATAACAGGAGTCCCCAGCACAGTGCCATCTGTGCTGGGGCCTGTTTGTTCCTCTCATATATTAATTTGAAAGTGGTTGTCTGCCTACAGAAAAGGAGGTCTTTATTTTTCCTGTGTGGAAAGATATAAGGAAAACTGATGTTGGTTTAAACTTTCGTAGTCTGATTTTCCTTTTCCCTCTTAGACACAACAGAGGAACCTGCGCCACAGCCCAACAACACGATCGGCTCCATCATTGGTGTGATCCTCACAGTTTTCGTGGTTGGGGCAATGTACTTCATCTGCCAGAGGGTACTGTGCCCACGCATGAAGGGAGATGGAGAAACAATGACCAATGATTATGTGGTGCATGGACCAGCCTCTGTACCTCTGGGTTATGTGCCTCACCCGAGCTCTTTGTCAGGGTCTCTTCCTGGTAAGTAAATGGTGTGATCCTTGTCCTGTTCTTTGGTACCACACAGCTGTGCGTATTCATACAGGAAATGTCTGTTCCAGATGCATAATTCTTGGAAGCTATTGGAAGCCAGGACTCTCAAGGCTTGTTGTCATCCTTCTTTATAATAATGAATTGCTACTTTACGTATGCTATTCACAAGCATTTAGGTACTTAGCAGAGCCACAAGCTCAAATAGATGCACATAATGTGGGAGTTTTCTTCTTCTGCTACTAAAGAATCCTCTTTATGGACCACTGTAGCATCAGCAAAGTGTCATGACAGTACAGGGTAAAGTTACGCAGTTATGTTCATGGGACTTTAAACATTATGTAATTATTCTAGATAGGTTTGTAGACTGAGTTTTTATGCTTGTGAAACTTCTTGCAGAGTCTATAATGACCAGCAGTAATTGTAGTCTCAGCTTACTTCATTTCATGATGAAGTTGTTAACACCAGTCCAAGCACACTTTACTCTGTTTAAGAAGTAAGACTCCATCACAGTGTTGCACTTCATTTAAATGCATTACTTCTGCATATATTAATTAAATATGTCCTGTAACTTGTGACTTCAGATCCGGCAGATTCCTGTCAGAACAGAAGCTCTGTGAGGCTGTTACAGGGTTAAAATAATGCATCAAATGACTTTGTGTAATAACCTGCATAAAGTCTCTTTGAGCAGAATTTTCCCCATCATTTCGAGCACCGTTTTCCACTTGGACTCTGTGTCAGTGTGCTTCAGTCACTAACGAAAGCTCACATAATGATGTTGAAATGAAAGAACAAGAAACCCTCTCTTCTCTTGCACAATTTCAGTTTCTCAGTTCAGGTGGTCAGTAAGTTTCATGGTTTATTCTGAGGCACAGAAATAGTGCCTGAATGCCTGTTCTCTCAAGTCTTTTCAAGCCATTCAAGTGCAAGAAATGTGTTTCTCTTCATACAGCTTTAGTATAGCCCAGTGCCAAGTCCTGCAGTTGAGTAGCTGATGCACAAAACCAACACGTTTATTCCATGACAGTCTTCATTTCTGTTGTCCACCAAGGAGCCCTGAAATTGTTTTTAATACCAAGATGATTAATTTTGGCTCTACAAATTGTGCTTATACAGCTGTTATCCTCTGGATTATTTTTTTAAGCTTCCTTTTCTCAACTGAATATTGACATACATTTTTGTTCTTCAGGTATGTCTCGAGGTAAATCTGTCATCAGCTCCCTAAGCATTATGGGAGGGAGCAGTGGACCGCCCTATGACAGGGCCCATGTTACTGGAGCCTCTTCCAGTAGTTCTTCAAGTACCAAAGGCACTTACTTTCCTCCAGTAAGTTATTCTATTATTTGTAGACCTTTAATAACTTTCAGAGAAGTAATGGTGTCTTCTGAGTCTAATTGATTGACAAATTAATGTTTTGGTTTAGGTTTCTAGCCTGATAAACTTGTTTCAATATCGGGTACATGTGATTTTGAAAGGGAAGGAAGATGAGATTGTCTTTTTCCAAAACAGTCTAGAAATTTTCTCTTAATTTAAAAAAGTTGTGAGAGAGCTCAGTGCCAGAAGAAAATGTTAGATTGAATGTCAGGGGAGATGAAAAAAATCCCTGTAAATATTAAGCAGCTCTGGCAGAGAGATCTCCTTTCATTATACTCTGCCACATGCCTCTGAAAGTAAAGCTATGATTGATTGTGTATAGACTTTCAAGGAATTAAAATGAAGTTTTATGTCATGTGTCTTACAAGTGACAGATAAATAAGTAAACAAATGTTTTGCAGCTCCACAACATCCCTCTAGTCACAAGTAGGTAGTATGCTGCTCCCCGTCCCTTCACTTCTAGCATCTGTGGTGGTTGTTTTAGATATTTTTATTAGGTTCACCGAGCCACTGTCAAGTGTTTAAGAGTTACATGCTTGGTCAGTGAAGGTTGAAATCTTCAACTGTCTGCTTTCAGTTCTGATAATCAACCGCTTGTGCTTTAAATCAGCTTTAAATTAATCCAAGTGCTGTGTTCAGTAAGAACATGCCTGTATAGGGAAAGAATCCTTGCCTTAGCTAGCATCCTGCAAGTATTATAAGCAGAGTATTGCTTGGGAACTACAGCTAGCAGAAGTAGATATCTGCCAGTTTGCCTGGGGCAGTGGTATTCCCTAGTGACAATCTAGTACTGAGCAGCTAGCTTCAACTTTACTTTTCAGCACTGCATATGTCAAAATAGCCACAGCAGTCAGCATTTTTTGAGAAGAGCTTAGTAGTAGCTAATAGGAATGGCAATAAATGGCATTTTGAGTGTCTGTTGAAGAACTGGGGAATAAACAAATGAAAAATCACGTTTGTTGGGAGGGGCTATGCATGCAGTTCTTTATTTAAGGTTCCTATAATACAGTACTAAAAAGAAAGAGTTTACTTTGTATCTTTTTAACTGTGGCTTTTTTCCTTTTTTACTCCTTAGATTTTGAACCCACCACCATCACCAGCTACCGAACGTTCACACTATACCATGGAATTCGGTTATTCTTCAAACAGCCCATCCACTCATAGATCCTACAGGTAATTACTATAACAATAGCTTCGGTCAGGATCAAAGAGTTAGTGTAGAAAATGCAGAATAAAGACAGCCTCTGCTCCATAAGAATTGCAGTCAAAGGCCCTAATTCTGCAAGCACTAAACTAGTGCTTAGATGGGTTCACATGTATCAGGTTACTGATGCGTGTGTACAAGTGCAGCAGTTTGAGGTAAGTCATACACTAAGTGGTTTTGGTGATACATCTCTTGGGTATATTGATTTAGGGGGATTGACAGCACTCATCACAAAACTAGCTAAACGCCAAAAGAAACACAGTACCGTAATAACTTTGAGCCAAAAATACTTACCCTGGAGTGAACCCAGCCCTTTTTTAGGCTTCTGTCAAAAATAACTTGTTACATAATTATCAGAAATTATAAGCAAACACCCTGTGGAGAAAAAGTTCACAATATAAAGGAGGTCAGAAGTAACATTTAATATTGTGGTCTAGATAAACCACAGAATTTCTAGTTTGACATATTAAGGGTTAATATCTGGAAAAAGTTGCCAACCTTTTGCTTATTTTCTCTGACTAGTATTTATGGGCATATATGCTTTGTCTCTGTTTACTTGAATGTGTCTTTCTCACCTTTCCTTTAAGAATGCTGGAGTTATTTATCATTTTATAGCAAGTTAGAGGAACAAAAATAGAGGAACAGACCTGTACTACCCAAGGGTGTAAATGTTCCCCTCCCAAGTCACCAGCAGATCTGGTCAATGAGAAGAGAGTGCTGTATTTGTCTGTTGAAAGATGTGCCTCCCTAACACAGCGCCTTTGGGGTTTTTTGGATAATGAGGTCTCTGGGGCTAAACAGACATCCCTTCTCCATTAGCAGAAAATATGGCCTCTGTTGTGCAGAAGGTCAGACCAGATGTTTATAATGATCCCTTGCAGCCATATAAAAAAATCTTCTAAAATTATAAGTAATTTTCTAATGAAAGAAACCTAAATTCTGGTACCAGCATGAGTCTTGCTGATCAGTGGTTAGCTGATGTGCCTTTTAGTACGATAAAATGGTATTAGGGGTGTAGCATAAGGTTCAATGTTTTCCAAATGCTCCACTGCCCAAAACTAAACATTGATCTTGCTGCTTCTGATCTGACTTCTTTCCTAATATTCTGACTTGACTATAGAGGAGCTGCATCCCCAACTGACTGTGATACTGGGAGTTGTAGCTACCATGCACTTCCCTTTCTAATTTGTTTCCTTGGAACTATATTGGGCTCATTTTAAAAGATGTTTTGCGGTAGCAGCCTTTGAGAATTTCATCCCAGTTACTGCTCTAAGGAGTGATTCTCCTGACTGCTATGAATGTGCCAGGTAATTTTCAGTTTCCTTGTCTGGGCTTAGAAGTTTGTATCCAGCAATTGCATAATACAAACAGAATATCTTCTCCATGTAATTGCAACACACATGGACATGCACATTCGTACCCTTCCTGCCCCACTGTCTCAGGAGCAATTTTTTCTACCTCAATTAAGTCCTTAGGGAATGTGTTGTCTGTAGATAATTAATAATTAGCATCACTTTCACTGGTTGCTGTAATTTGACTGACACTGTAACGTGTGTGGTTGAAGGTGGGCCCTTCTGCAGGGAAGTCAGTGAGAGCGAGAGGAGCGTGATGCTGTGTATGGCTGCAGAGGGGTTCACCTGCTTGCTGTTTCCACTTTGGCTTATTACCCCTGTTACGACCCACCCCAGAAAAAAGGGGGGGTAACCCAGGTTCTTATCAATAATTCCTTTGGGGTGGATTAGAGTGAAACGAAACTGAATAATTGGTGTTTGAAAACATACATATGTAGGGTTTATTTTAAACGCATATAGGTAGGGTTCGTTTTAACAATTTTGTTTGAACAGATATGTTAGCATTTTGGCTGTTGTCATCTATATTATCTATCATAGGGGTAACCCCTGGGGGGAAAATGCATAAGGGAGAGAAAGGAAAGACAAGATAAGGGTAAAGGAGAGTAAGGGAAAGAAAAGCTGAGAGTTGAAAGATGTGTATAGTCACCGCCCACGGGGTCCAGCGATGACACTTGGTAGTTGCAGCTTCCATGTCTGTCAGTTGAAGTGGTGGCCTTGATCTGTTGGGGGTGAAGGAGGGAAGCCCCCACACTCAAAGAAGTCGTGAGTTTCTATATCCATGGTTAGTGTCACAGGCCATTCCACGAGCCTCCAACATCTTCTGAGTCTGTGCTGAGTTTCTGTGAGGGGTCTGGCAAAAGGATTTTTCCCGCCCTTCAAGACTGAGGGAGGAAGGGGGGATGGGCTTTGATGGGCCATCAGAGGTATAATGCAAAAGTCCTGCAGAAGCCTGCAAAAGTCCCTTGGCAATCCTAGAATGCATAAATCATTAACCGTTTCAGTCTCTGACACCCCCCAGCTTGTTCACGGGCGCATCGCCAAAAGTCTTTCTATACGCTGACCCTTTTTTTTTCCCCCATCGATCTTCCCACTGCAGCTACAGGCCTTACAGCTACCGGCATTTTGCACCTCCCACGACGCCCTGCAGCACAGACGTCTGTGACAGTGACTATGCCCCCAGCCGCAGGGTCACGGCAGCCACGGGCAAGGGCTACACCAGTGACTTGAACTATGACTCAGAGCCGGTCCCTCCACCGCCCACCCCCCGCAGCCAGTACTTGTCGGCGGAGGAGAACTACGAGAGCTGCCCGCCTTCCCCCTACACGGAGCGCAGCTACTCCCACCACCTCTACCCACCGCCACCGTCCCCCTGCACGGACTCCTCATGAGGGGGAGCCCCCCCACCCCATTATCTGCCTCCGCTGTGAAAGTGTAAATACAAAATATTCTACTGGGGAGGGGGGGAGGGAGCTCTCGGAAAAGGAATGAGGTAGGACAGTGTACAGTTAAAATGTTACTAGATGGGGTGGGGAAATACTGAAGATATTTGTACAGAAGAATTAAAAAAAAAAGGATATTTATATATTTTCTTAAACAGCAACTGCTGCTTGTGCTATAAGAAGAAAAAATTTTGTGTAAAAGAACCCAGACGTTTGTACAAAAAGTTTTTATTTTTGCAAATGGAACACAAAAACATGCCTTAATCCAGTGAAGTGACTGAGCAAGTAAGGATATGGAAGGACTGGGATATGTTACTTGTCCAGAGAGGTAATATGTGGGGTTTGTCAATACCAAAAATGTTTAAAATAATTAATAATAAAGAAGTCCATCTCAGAGCAGCATACCATAGATACTTGGAAGTAGCCAAATATCCTCTATGTTAACTACAGAGGGCCAACAACTAAAGATAAACTTGAAAATGCAGTCAGGACAGATACTAACCTTGCACAAAGGGCTTTGTTTTCTACAGGAATACAACAATTGTAGCAGTGAATCCAGAAAAATCACACACTTTTTTAAATGAATACACCTCTGATTTTCCTTAATGCAATTAACCAACTAGATAATTTAGCATTTAGAGCTCTCTTCTTGCTTCTGGAATTTTCAATTATTTTTGGGGGGTTTATTTTAAAATTCGTTTTTTTAATCCCGATTAGGTTTTCTTATCTCTGCTGCATCCTTTCTTCCTGCCTGTGTCACTTTAAATCATGATATTCTTATTTAAAGTACTGCTAGAAGTGGGCTGCTGTAAATTCTGTTTTTTCTCCTAATTAGCCTTGTCATGCAGTGATTATCATGCTATACATTACGTTCTTCATTTTGACAGCATGATAGGATTCTGTTTTGTACCAGGTCAGTATGATTTTCACATAATTGACAAGGGTAATATGCATATACCTGAGTGATTTTTAGTCCCTTAAAAAGGAAAACCTTATCTTGACCTAGTGCCCACAAAATGTCAAATATTTTTATACCACATATAATACAGACAACATATTTATAACTATAAATTTAACCATGGATTGTTAGTTTTACTGTAAATGAATAATATATCCTTGCAGTACTTTCAGTGTGTATTGATATCACAGTATACAAATCATATATGAATAAATATATATATTATTTTTTCCTACTAAGGAAGCATTTAACTTTCAGTGGACCAACTGTCCATAAAAAAAATAGATGTTTTGATCATTGGAAGGGGTTCCCCTGCTGTATTAACTGCTCATGTTCTCTTTGTGTTAGGTAAAGCCAGTTTCTCTCAGTATGATTTTGATGTACCTTTTGACATACCTCCTCTTTTGTGTGGCATGAGTTTAATACTTTAGTATTAACCGCTGTGAATGTCAAATTTCAAGATATTCTTAACAAAACTATTTTAGTATATTATCATATTTAGCCCCTTCTCCCATCAGCCTCACCGTGGTGATTTTGACAGGGAGATTATTTAATCAAGTGAAAACATTATTTGTATCAGTTAAGGGGCAACCTAGAATGTTATTAACTTCTCTTGGACTCCAGTGCAGTGCTCTGCTTTGACTGTATCGGAGCTCACAGTATACCTGACCTTAGATGGCATTATGCATTTGCACCTTCCGTTGACATCAAATTCACCAAAGGTGCTCAATGCCTTTAAGGACTGGCCCTCTGAGTCTTCTCTCTCAAAAGAAGGTTCTGAGGAGTTTCTGCCTCCTCGCCTTTGGGCATGCTATGGGGATTTCAACTTTCCAGAGGTGCCATTTGGGTTTTGTTGTTCTCTGTTGTTTGTTTCCCAGCCAGTTTCAACTAAAAGAGAAATAATCTGAAAGTATGGCATGGGCTTTAATTCATGCTGTTGACAAAATTAGTGCTAAGTTATTCTTGCTAGCTGCCACTCATCTGGAGTACTGGATCCTCATTTGGTTTCCGCTCCAAGGAAAACTGTGTCATTGGGATTCCATCTGTAATAAAGGGTCTTTCCTAGTAATCCAAGATACCTGAAGAAACTTTAAAAAGCCTTGGTGATCTCCAAGCTGTTGATCTCTGAATCTGGCATACTAAGGGTTTTTTTGCCCAGCTTCATTCTAGGTATCTAGGAATCATGGTAGCTGTTCTTCTGGCTCTTCCTTGCTAGTGAAGAAGCTTGCTTGTGTTCTCCAGCAGGATGGATGTTGAGAAGGGTGTTGTGAACTTAAGGGAACTCGAAACCATGTATATGAAGGGGGGAGGGCGACTGTGTCAGGGCAGGGGGTGTTGAGGCTGGCACGCCAATGAGAATTAGAATTTCTCTGTTGTTTACACTTTTTCATGTGCAGCATTCCGTGGGGTTCATATGTGGGAACTTGCACTAATGAACTCAGAAGAATATTGTGTTGTTGTATCTCAGTCCCAGTGCTTGTACTGCAATGGCAATGGTCTCTTCTTGCAAAATACTTTTTTCAGTGTGCCAATTTCTGTTTGAAAAACTCCAGGATGGTTGAGCTTAAGGAGTGGTATTCTCTTTCTGGTGCAGTTGGACTACCTTGCTAAAGCTTCCTCTTGGAAGCAACTTACTGCAGGTAAATTTGTAAGTGTGTTAATTATAGCGAGGTTCTTCAGAAGAACGACATTCTCTGCGTATGGATCGTGCTGCCTTCCTTCTGTGCTAGTTTATGTCCACACACAACCCAGCTGAAGTCAATGGGGTGGACACGTAGGATTTGATCATCTTTCTGATACATACGTTTCAGTTTGTGCACACTGCGTGTGGCTTCCATGAGTATAAGTTCATGTAACCTGTGCACATACATTAAATGAAATATTTACAGTAATGACAAATATGTAAACGAGCCAGTTGATATCAAAGGATTCATTTTGCTGTGAATTGAAACTTAACAACTATATTGTAAATTCCAGATTACTGCCGTAACATTTCCCTCTCAATGTGCATGTACAAGTGTATGTATGCAGGTACACGTATCCTTGATAATCTGGATTTACCCAAAGCTAATAATTTTCTTTTGTGCATGCACATTGGCAGATTCAGCCTCCCTGCCTTTCAGAGTGCTAGTGCTGAATGCTGTTCGGCTGTGTCTCCCCTACACTGGACTTCTTTTGGCCAGATTGTATGACAGACACAGAATACCTGTTAACTTTAAACCTGAACACTAAATGCTCTGACAGACCAGACAGGAGAGGAAGCACATTTTTTATACTGTTCCCCCACTTTTGGAGTCCATTTTGCAGATGAGTGAAGGTACATGAAAAACAATCTGTAATTATGAAGGAAATTGCACCCCATCTGCTTGAACACAGCAGGTGCTTCAGTCAACAGCAAGTGAAGGTACATGTGGAAAATCCCTGTTATTCCTATTTATTACACTAATGGGCTTTGATGGTGTTCTGGTCTCCAGTTCTGCATTGCTTCTCTAGTTATTATAGCCCATTCTCTAGAAATGGCTTGATTGGCCAGTCTTAAACACAGATTAACTTGTTTTGCTTTAAGGTAGTTAAACTTGTACTAAGATGAAGAAAAGGCCACTGTCTTGACTATTGAGTTATTTCCAATTCCTTATTGCTTGGCAAATCTCATATTAATTGATTACCACCATTCTGAGGGGAACTGCTTGAACTACAGAATTCCCTGGTCACACATGCTGTTGAATCGGATGACTTATTCAAAATATCTCCTAATAAGTAATCAATCTTTTTTTTTTCTGACCTTTTTGCCTTGAGCATGTTTGTCACACAATATTGTTACTGACAGAATTTGCTTTTGAACATGTACTGTGTGTGTAGCAGATTACTTTTTAGATCTAAAACAGAAAAATAATTGTTTAAGTGCAAAAATAATGTGAGCATTTTTATTCAGAAATTGCTTTCTTAGCAATGAGACTTTTTTAGTTGCATTTTGATGGTGTTATTGCTTGGAAATTACCCTTTAACTTAATTGGCAGGTGACAGATACACCTTGAAAATAAGTTAGGAATGAACTAATAGCTTGAAAATGGCTGCAAAACAGTCAATTTCTTTCTAAAAGAAGTTAAAATACACTAGTCACTCAAAATTTTTTGTTTTCCATCTTTAAAAAGGGCAGCAATGATGCCAGCATAACATTTATATGGGCTGGGTGATTCGCTTCAAAACCGTGCAGGGCAGGGTAAGTAAACTGTCCATACTTTATTCAGGACAGAGATTGTCTTAGTAGTGGGCAGGGTGATTGTTATGGTGAAACTCTTAGCTGAGCAGTCTTCTTCCCCTCTTTTAAATGAACAAGGAGCAGCTTTGAAGTCCTGATTAAAATGGCTGTAGCCTTAAGCCATGCAGTTAAAAGTCAGCAAGGGAAAATGAAAGTGTTTTTTTTTTTTTTGTGAAGAGGATACCACCAGGCTTAAGCTGAACTAGCCTTGTTTGCAAGTGAAGGATCTGGTGCTGCTTTTAGATTTTAAATCTTTGTTTTGTTTTTGGTTTGCTTTGTTTGTTCTGTTGTGTAAGCTTTAATCACTGTTTGTCATTGTCTTAAAGCCAGCTGGTGTCTCTTGTTCATCAGCTTTGGTACGGTGGTGCTTTGCAAGGATGTATTTATATTATAATGGCCAACATTTGGTCAGCCCTATTCACTCACTCACTTTTTTTTTTTTTGTAAAATAAAGTGCTTTACTTATACGGTGTATATAAACCTTGTACAAAAATCCTTTCCAATTATTACTATAAACCAAGTTGTAACAAATGAAATGTTGATTTTTATAATAAAACTGAGTGAAAAAGAAGTACTCTTCATTTTATTTCAGCATCTGGAAGACAGATAATTAAAGGTACAAGTCCCTGTGTCTCTTTGTTCTCCATGAAAGTCAGAATGTGCTTAGTTTTCTGATGTTGTAGGAAGGCTCTGCAAACATGCATTTGCAGTGCACCAAGTCCTGTGTTTTCTGCACACTGTCTGTGCTAGGAATGAAAGAATCATTACAGGGCCTGACTCCTGTGGGGCCGGATAAGATCAATTAAGAAGGGACCGGAGGAAATTATTTAAGAGAGGCTTCTCCTGCCATCCCACCTGCACCCTCAGTACTTTAGCAGGGAGAGGAAAACAGGATACATAAACCCCCCTGTTTTTTCCCCCCTCCCTCCCTTGGTACAGGATGAGAGTGGGGAAGAAGAGGCATCTTGAAGTAGCTGAGAGCATTCCCTTGCACTCACACACATAGGAAAAAAATTATGGGAATAAAGAAGTGAAAGCCATTGGCTGCAGAGTTGACCAGGTCCAGCACTGAATAAGGCCTTCAGAGGCTGTGCCCAGTGTGAGCTGATTGCTAATTTTGTGACTTTGGAGTTATGCTTGGCTTTCCCCTCCCTCTGTTTGATCTTTAATGGGCGGGGGGGGGGGGGGGGGGGGGGGGGGGGGAGGAAGCATCCCTGAAACAAAAGAGGTCAAGCTGGAGAAACCCCAGTGCTCTTAGTTCCCCCACCTTGCCTGGCAAAGGGACCGTCAGACAGGGAAGTGGGCAAAGGCAGTGCTTCATGGCTGAGGGAATAACGTGATAATAACACAGTGAGACAAACTATTTTCTGCTCAGGACTTCCTTGATTTGGCTCACAAGAAGGCAGCCATGCCACTTTTGTCTCAAAGAGAAGAGGAAACCAGCACTGTAGCTTGAAGGGTCAGGAAACGTGTCCGCACGTTGAGGCCTTTCTGGTGGGAGCAATCCCTCTGGTGCACTGACCTGACTGCATTTTCAGCAGCGAGGGACTTTAGTGACAGCAGGAGTTACCCATTGCCAGGATTTGGGGCCAGCCAGAGGGGAGTGTGCAAGCTGGAAGAGGAGATGGCATCAGGAATTATCTGAGGCACCCCAGCCCTTCCTCCTCCCACGTGCTCGTGAGCACCACGAAATTCTCCTGTGAGCTGCACCTGTGTACGGCCTCCTTCCTGCCTTGTACCTTCCCTGCCTCTCGTTATGTAGAGTGCCTAATGAAAGCCAGACCTTGGCCTCTGAGGGCTTTTTATGTGTTTTGTGGCTCATTCCTTAATGGAGGCTGCCACTGGTCTTGCTGTGAAATCACATTTGTGGATATGATGCTGACATGCTGATTTGACTTCTGGTGGGGAATGAGCAGCAGGTGAGTCCTACTGGTAAAGATCCAGATTTTAGGCCAACACGCCCTGTGCTGAAAAGCAAAGGAAGAAATGATCAGAAAATGACCCCTATGAGGACAGGAGGAGAGTTTGTAAATGAATTTGTGATTAAAATGGCTCACGAGGCAATAGATGCTTTAAAAATATAAATCCATTGGTGTATTTTTCCTAACTTTGTGGGTTTTGGGCATGTTTTGTTTGCTATAGACAGTCATTCTTCTATCAGTGCCACTCTCTTCTTTCCATCCTGCAAATGTTTTGAGAAACCCAATGGCTGCAGCATTGTTGTGCAGATGGCTTGATGTAGGCTGTTGTTCTGAAGCACAGCTGTTAGGGATTCATTATTTGATTGAAGAAAACCACTTTCAGATGCTTCTAATAGGAAGTTGTTCCACCAGCAGGACTAATAATGAAGGCTGAGATGTATTTCTCTCTCCTATCCTTCCAGTGTGATTGCCACACATCCGCTCCATGGAGTTGCAACTTCAGTAGTGGAGTAGGAAAGATATATATTCCTTCAAATTTTGAAAAAGGAAGGGAAGCAATACTAATTCTCTCCTTTATTGGCATCCCTCTGTCTCCCAAAAAGCCAAAAAATGCTCAGGAGTCAAAAGTTAGACAGAAGCATGGCTTTGTCATAAAGCTGGAATCCAAGAGATTATTTGGTGAATGGCACCAGGAAAGGAAGGTCTGTCAGCACAGAGCACATGGGAATGGATGGGAAAGGGAGAGATGGGGTTTCTGCTGCTTTAGGATACTTGGCTCCTTCTACCACATGGGTATTTTTTTCTTTTTGTTTAATGTTTGTATCATCCTTCAGCTTTAGATGACTCCAAAATGAGGACCAAAAAGACAGACAAGAGATATAATCATCATGTCCCAATTGTTTCCTTGAGTTAATTTTATGTTGGTAATAAAACCTATCTATTTCCATAAGTGTAAAATACAACGGGCAAAGCACCTGTAGATCTGGGAGGGCTTAGCAATTCAGATCCATCATTTACTGTGGGATTTCTCCAACATTTTTTTCCAATGTACCTTGTGTTTTTCTTGTCATTGTGCACAATTAACTGCTGTTTCTCTAAGCAGGTACTTGGTGGATTTGATCTCCTGGTTCCAGCATGCCACCGGCAGCCAACTGTAAGTCACAAAAAGGATTCTTTCAGAGAGAAGAAGTTGCAATGGGTTTTTTGTTTTGTTTTTGGCAGGATGGTCTTCTCTGTTGCTTAGCTAATTGTAAGTCTAAACATCCTTAGAAGGAATTGAATTTCACATGAGGCATCAAGAGTGAGAATCTGCTCCTCTCCCTCTGTTACTGCTGCATTGAAACTGTGGTATTATTTTATAGTTAATGATTTCTACATTGGTTCCTTCCAGATAGAATAGGTTCAGTGATCTGATGTATCTTTTAGGGGGTTTGTGGGTTTTTAATGTATTTTATATATTATATATCTTTTCATATACCTAGAAGAACTCAATACCCTATTTGTAATTACAGATGCCTCTACTGCTTTAATTGCAATTTTTTCAGGAAAAACCACAGATACTGGATTTTTGGGTTTATGTAAATATTTATTCCAGAATGTGCACAAAGACATTGACACCCCATCCTTCTTGGGAACAGCTACAGCAAAATATTCAGCTCTGTAATAGCTGTGAGAGCACCAATCTTCACCTGTCCTTGGGCTGCTAGAAAGAGGGACCCTGAGGCCAGAAGGTAATTAGTCAACTTACTTTAGAGCTGAGATGCTTGATAATGTCCCTACTGAATCCTCATGAATAAACTGCAGAGTCACATGCATAATATTAACACCAAATTCATTCCCATAGTTGTTTTCAGCTTGCTTTGCTTGAGTCATTACCTGTAGATAAAACAATATGATACCTTCCAAGCCTTTCTTTTGAAAAACCCTAGTAGTGGTGGAATGAGCAAGCCATTTAATGCTGGGAATTGGAACATTTTGCAGGTTTCCTTGTTCCTCGTCCTTGTATGAGAGACCCTCCTGTGGTCTGTCCCAGCAGAAGATATGGCAGTCTTGGCCCATAACTGCCTCCTTGCTTTTCACAATGCTGAGGGTATGAAACAGTGCACAGGATGGGGTGCTGAGGGGAAAGGAAAGTTAGTTCAGGCCCCCACACTTAGAGCAAAATACACTCAATGAATCTTAAAACCTTTTTCAGAAGCAGAAAGTAAAAAGAAGACTTAGCTTTCAAAGTGATTGTGAGTCACTCGCCTTCAAAGTATTTCCATGGATTTCTTGAAGTTTCTTTCCAGTGTGTATTCCAAGCATTTTTGTGGGGAGGATAAATTCTCCTTGTCTCACATTTAGTTTTGGTCCATCAAACTGGCGCTCATTTTGGTTTCTCTTCTGGCACTAAAGGCCAATTTGCATCCTTTAATTGAATGCAGACACTGCATCTAACATGACAGGCACTACCCATTCAAGAATGGGTAGACAAAATATTGTCTTTCCTGACTCCTACTTGCCTTAATTAAAAGCAGAGGGCTGACCTCAGCCCTGAACTCTGCCCTTGCTAATACTTTTACACATTGCTTCATGCTAAGGCTTAACAGAGCCCATGCAAGTTCCCGGCTCGCCAGTGTAGTTTGTTAGAGTTTTAAGGGCAAGTTTCACTTAATTGATGGGAGGTACCTCCTTGTGTAGGTAGGGCTGGCCTGGCCCCATCTGCTCTTCACCTGCGGGGAGGAAGTGGGTGCAGGGGTTGGTACCACTGGGCAAAGTGGAGCAGATCTGAGCCAAGTGAATGTTTCCATGGGCTTATACCATTCTGTGGTTGCACCACCTCCTGGCATGATTTCCTCTGGCTTGTGTGCTCTGCCTTCCAGATGGACAGAAATCCCTTTTCAAGGAGGACCTAGGACCTAATAGATACTGTGAGGTCGATTAGATATCCAGCCTTGGTTTTGGGCTTGGAGTCAGGTGTTTAAACTTTTAATGTTTGGGGGTTTTTTAACTTGTGTCCTCTCCTGCCTAAACTTAGAATTTCACTGTGTGCTCAGATCCCCATCGCTTAAACCTGCACGGGACCTCTTGTGGTCAGCAACCCTCAGGTTACTTTGTGAACTGGGAGGGTACAGCAATAGCTACCCTGGACTGGCCACAGTTAAAGTATAACAAATCATGTCCCACTCACCTGAGTACCCCAAAGTGGGGTATAGATGGAATGCCTTTATACAGATGGATGCAAATCAGGAGGCAGCAGTGGCTGAAGAGGTGCTCTCTGCATAACAGATAAAAGAGATGAGATAGGGTACATGGAGGTGGTGGTGAATACTCCCTGCTTCTGCAGAAAATGCTGAGCTTTCCTTGTGTGAGCACTGGCTTAGGTAAAAACACACAGAAAGCATCTGTCCATACAGTGTAATTTTGCAGTGTGTATTTTTTGTCATCATATCTACAGAGAAGAATTTTTGCTTAGTCTCCAGGTCCTGGAAAGAGAGGCATTGGAGAGCTCGGCTTTCCATTAGGAGCCTTAACTCTCACGCTTCTG